AGGACTTGAGAGCAGGGATGTGCTGGCCCATCGACAGGATATAAGCCGGCAATATGCGTTAGGTTGCCAGCTTCCACTCTAAATATGCAAATATAGTCCTTCTGAAGAGGCGTGGCAGCAGGGGCGTTGCAATAGCAGCAGCAGCATCAGCAGCAAACAATGAAAGTAAATGCCAAAACATTTTATTGATTATCAGACGGAAAGGAAGCTTTGACTTCTAAAAGCACAGTGGTTATATAGTGATTTTTTAAGGAAATAACCTATTTTATTCACTAAGAGAAAATATTCAATTTCAAGTTGGCCTTCCACGTTGTTTAATTTTAGGGCATTTTTTATAGCTTGGTTTATAATTGCCCGACCAGCGAATGTGGTGCCTTCCCTTAGATGTTCGAGTATTATAATTCTACATAATAAACTGGCCAACCAAACTCTGACCCGATTTTCGAAAATCATTATTCAGATGATTATCTACTCAAAATATTTGTTTAAAATCTCAATTTCTAATTTATTTTGATTTAGATCAAAGCACTAATTAATAAATACATAATCTGTCTACACATCAGCTTAGAAATGTTTAAGATAAAGCGTAAAATGTATTCCAAAAGTTTACATCGTCGAAGCTCGAAGGACATATTTATGATTCGTTTAGGTACTAAAAAGGGTATAAGAATACGTATAGAAACATTTGTGATTTTAATCCACTTATTTTACTATTGATCCCAGTGTACTCTCGCTACTTCAGTTGCCATTAGACGGCGCCGACAAGTGTGCTACACTTTTTTCGCAGTTGTCTGATGACAATGGGAACCGGAGTCGAAGTTGGAGTTGGAGCAGGAGTCCGTGCCTGAAAACAGGAGTAGATCTGCGCTGGTATGGGTAAGAGCATTGAGCATTTTAATAACCGCAGCAGAGGAGCGGGTAAGCAGGGGCAGAGAACGACGAGGGGCAGGAGAAGCGTTGGACGGCCATAAATTATGCCACCCACCGACTGGAAAAAGGCAAAGCATCGGCTGTCGTCCTTCGAGGGCCGCCCGTTGAGCGATTTGTAATACACAGCTCCCTTTCTGCCGACTGCGCTTTTGGGCGAGGCGTGGCCCAAAGGACCGCCCCCCGTTTGACAAAAGGGAGCAACTTTAAACTTGAAAAAGCAAAGGGGGAGCTCGCATCCTTAGAGCCCTTCAAGTGGTCAGTGCGGCGTCATAATGCAATTGTACAATTTTCTTAAAAGCTGACTGTCGCCGACAATAAAATGTAACATTTGCCCATGACGATGATAATGCCACCACATCTCGAGTGCACTTTGGGCCATTCAAAGATCGCAAAAGGCATTACAGAAATTAAAAATGCTCCCAAATGGGCAATGAACCCCAAAAACACACATTTGGTCAACGAAAACAATCAGGCAAATGGTGTGAACACAGGACATTTTAGCTAATTGAAATGTGTTCGCAATGCAAATAAGAGAAAACTACATGGGGGCTTACGCCCAGTTGCCAGTGTTTTGCCAAAAAGTAAATAAATATAAAAATAAAAGTGCAAAGCCTTAAGAGCTCCTGGGAGTCACGTTTCCGCCAGTGGATTAGCTCAAAGCCCGCTTCGCTCCTTCGCAGGACCACCTGTGGCTGCTGCTGCCCGCCAGGATGCCGCAATCACGTTTCAGGTGCGAAATGAAGATTTATAAAATGGCAAATTGATTTAACGTGCCAAGTACTTCTTGATTCCACAGGCAGTCGCTGACTTGATAAAATTTTAATGCCCTCCTCAGGGACCGACAGCGGAATAAAACCAAACCCTCCCTCATGTGGTTCAATTTCACCCCAGAGGCCTCGTAATTGAGGGTTAAACTAGTATTTCGGTTCATCAACAGGTAATACCAGGCCGGATTTTTATGACAACTTGCGGCTTGTTAGTTCGAATAAATAATGCATGAGACAACTTTAACCTAACAAGCTCAGCTCTCCATCGTCCCTGTAATATTCTCCATCCCCCAATCGAAATTTGAATACTTTGCGGCATCACGTTTTTCGACTTTTCTTGCCTTTTCTTTTTTATATTGCCAATTGCGTCGCGCATTTTTGATTATTTTTCCGCTTTTCATCTTATTGGTAATACAATACATCCAATTGTTTTTTTGGCTTTTCTTAAGCAAACAGAGTCGGAAAAAAATTCAATTAAATGTAATCGCATCTTCTTCCTTCTGAGCCCATGATTGTTCTAAGGGAGATGCTTGAAGAAAAAAAGTGAAATTAAAATTGAATAAATAGCCAAATAAACACGCTCTTTGAAAATAAATGCTAATTTCGCGCTTTTTCTCAAGTTTCCACTACAGAATATTGAGAAGCACTTCCGTTTTTTATTTTTCATCACCCGACTTGAGTGAGGTGGCACGTGCCGGCGGATATTCTTTTAATGTGTCGCTAAAGTTGGAAAACTCGACTAAGGGATGAACGGATAACAAAATTAGGGTTTAAATTTGTACAATATTTTCTGGTTTCATAAATTCTGATTTAATTTTGAAGAGAAACTATAACTATACATAAAACGTTACAGTTTGCTCCCATAGACTCAACATAAAGTGCATTTCCATGTCCTTTTTGTAGATAATTGAGTTGTGATACCTCTAAGTGAATTACCTAGCCGGCAAACTTTCCAATTAAAATCAGATGCAATTAATAATAATTCCTTTATCGAGCCATGCCCACATTTAGCCATTCGCTTCCACTAACCAGCTTAAATGGGGAAAAAACGTTTTCAATTTGGCGAGGAGGCAAAGAAATTCAATTAACCTCAAGTGGATGCCACAATGATGAAGGCATAAAACAAAGGCCGAAGCTGTGGTGGCATTCACACCTCGTCAAAGTCAAAAGGAGCAGATTGAATGGGACACGGGGGAGGCTGTGGACTACAGAACATCCCTGGGCTCAGACCGTTTAGCCCCACAACTGATATTGCTGCCCGAGGTTATCGATGGCATATTAAGCTTCCAGGACCTTGGGCTTGTGAGGCAAAATCGGAGTTGGTCCATGGAAAGTGCTCAGAACTCGGTCTGATTAAGAGCTGAGCAAACAAATCACGAACCAGCCAGCTTGTTTGCTTAGCCAGTGTCTAAACATCGCTCTCGACTGTTTTTTAAACTGTTTGCCAAGCCTATCCGAGCCGGGAAATTTCCAACCAACCCCCAGGACCTCCAACATTTCGACTCGGCGTGTAATTAACATTTCAATTTTGTTCATCAGCCAAATGTATCTCTTGTGCTCCAATGCGCTTTAACCTCTACTCCGCCCTGCAACCTCTATAAATTTCGGTTCGGGCCAATTGTTGCTACTGTTCGGGGTTTAGTGTTGACATATGCAAATTTTTCACCGCCCCCGTCGCCGTTTACAAAGTTTTTTGATTACTTTTAAGCATCCCGAAGGGAGCTGAAATACGCCCTGTTATTTGCCAACTTGGTGCTGGATTTTGTGGATGCTTCAATCTCATCGATTGTTTGTTTTTTCCTGGTTTTATTACATTTCTGTTTAAATGCGTAGGACGTAGACAAGGAACTAGCCATTAATCATTTTGATTTACCTGAAGTATAAATTAACCTTTGAAGTGAAATGAAACATGATTTATGATTTAAAATGGACTAGTTGGTACTTAAAATGCCATCAACTATGCTATATGATTCCATAAATAAACTTAAAAATTTCGAGCATACTCGCAACTTATTACGGAAAGTTTTAAAAACTGGCCCTTAAATTTATTTAAAGTTTTAAATGTTTATTTTACTTATTCGTAAGATAAACAAGAAAGGAAAGCTAACTTCGGGCGGAGCCGAAGTTTATATACCCTTGCAGTTAAAACCGGATATATATCGCAAACATCGGATATAGTTGGCAGATCCTTATGATTACATCATAATAAAACCAATTTACTAAAATACAAAATCTAAAATAAGTCCCAAACTTCTATCTTCCAAAATACGAAAGTTGATATTTCTACCAAGTACCATTTCCGATCGTTCAGTTATATGGCAGCTATAGGTTATAGTCGACCGATCCTAATGAAATTTGGTAGGTCGGATCAACTGGCCAATAATAGAATCTGTATTAAGTTTCAGCTTTCTATCTTCAAAAACACGAAAGTTAGGTCATTTCCGATCGTTCAGTTATATGGCAGCTATAAGATATAGTCGGCCGATCCTTATGAAATTTGGCATGTCACAATAATTTGCCAAAAATAGCTCTCATGTCAAATTTGAACTCTCTAACTCTAAAAACACCAAAGTTATACCATTTCCGATCAATCAGTTATATGGCAGCTATAGGATATAGTCGGCCGATCCGGGCCGTTCCGACTTATATACTGCGTGCAAAGAAAAGAAGGGTGTGTGCAAAGTTTCAAGACGATAGCTTCAAAACTGAGAGACTAGTTCGCGTAGAAACGGACAGACAGACAGACAGACAGACGGACAGACGGACAGACGGACAGACGGACAGACGGACATGCTCATATCAACTCAGGAGGTGATCCTGATCAAGAATATATATACTTTATAGGGTCGGAGATGTCTCCTTCACTGCGTTGCACACTTTTGGACAAAATTATAATACCCTCTGCAAGGGTATAAAAATAGTTCATGACTAAATAGCATGCATACTTGATATTATTTTTAATTAAAGAAAAGTATACATTAATGTTTTTTTGTATAATTTATTATGGTTTTAGTAACTGAATCACTTATGAAATATTAAAAAAAAACATATCGAGGTTCCTTACTCTATTTAGCACGAAAATAATCTAAGAACTTCTATACGTGGAAAATATTAACAACTAGTGTTGTGCCAACCAAAAAAGACCTATCTTAAGTTTTTCCCACCTGTTTTTTATAATGACCTGTAAAAATTATAATTTTTCTATTTTCTATATAACAATTAAAATTTTTCTTGCTGTTTTTTGATTTTGTTTATCCCAATCAAATAAATTCCAAACTCTTTTTTTTTGCAATATTTTATTTTATTAATAATTAATTTTATTTAGTTAAAATCACATGTTGTTTTCCATTCAAATACATAACAAAAATCAGATTTCAAACAATTGGCTTATCATAGGGGTTAATCGATATGGATTGATATGATGTTGCTATGATATTCTTTAGGTTCATTGAGAGAGATATGGCTTAGAATCCAAGCTTTAGATCCTAGTCTATGGCATCCTTTGATACCGACTCCAGGCTATTGCGAGCTGAGGTCGCTGGCTCCCACCACTACGGCCACATCCACATCTCTGCCAACTCCGTCGGCAGTGTTGCCAAAGAGTACGAGGTCCTTTCCAAGGCATTCCAAAAGGATTTCTTTTTTTTCCTGCTCCTGTTCGATTTCCTTTTTTAGTTTTATTTTGCTCTCCCTTTCAACGTCTGCTCCCGGGCCGTGGATTGTGGTTTGTGTTTGGCGCCAGTGACTGGGCCGGGGTTTTTATAGCTGCCGCCACACGGACGGAGCTTTCCGCCCGGAACGGAACTCACCCCGCCGGAGTGGAGCGTGGAACTTTCGTGTTGAGTTTCGTGAGCGAGTCGACGAGTGTTGAGTTTCCCGCAAGGCAAATGGCAACAATTGTAGCTGCCTAATTGGGTGTATCTACCAACATACTTTTATATATGTACTTGTACGCGGGGCGTTTATGTAAACAGCTTTCCATGCGGCTGTGTGGGTGGTCGTCCGTGTGACCTTATACACACAAGGACACCCACGCAATAGGAGGAGCTAAATCCAGAGACATCCAGGATTTCTAATCGCAATGGCCGTCACTTGAAAATTTTGCCCATCTTGGCAATTCTCATACAATTAAATGGAATTTAAATTATGCCCATTGCCCATAGCCTGGGTATAAGCCTTCCATTCCTGTGAGTAAGTGATTAAAGCCATTAACGCAATTATCAGAGATTATAAAGATTTGTTCGCATTGGGATGCACAGGCAGGAACTCGCAGCGGGTGTCCTGGGCATCTCCGGTTGAAAGACAATGCGATTCTCCGTAATCCAGGGGCTTCAATTAATGGAGTGTCGACGTGGGTTGCACGCAAAAAAAGGGGTTGATACTCCGCCCCCAAGTCAACCTGCCAGGGGATGTTTTCAGACATGTTTTTTTAATTTTACTTAATTTTAATTTTTTGTTTGACTATTTATAGTTGAGCGCTGCTTTCCATGTCTGATGACGTCAATAGCCCACATTCCTGTGTATCTATAGTTTCATAACCAAGGACGTAGTTCGTTTTTGTGTGGGTTGTGCTTTGAAAGTGCAGAAGGCTTTTGAAAAAAGGTCAACAATCTCATAACATATACAAAATTAAAATGCAAAACAGTAATTAGAAGGCTACAAATCAGTTGAACTCCAATAAAAATTAAAAACAAAATTTACAAAAAAATATTTTCAAAAATGAGGCTAAAATAAATAAAGGTTTTAGATCAAGAAATGGAGGTTCCCAAACCAGATCCAAATGGAATGTCCCACTCGGATGGTACAAGAAAAAACCGTGAAGGATCGGAAAGACCTTCAACCAGTACTCAGAAAGCAAATCAGGAAATTATAAAAAAGTTAAAGAAATCAAATGAACTTCTCCTTAAGAAAAAAATATATTCTTTGCATTCTATGATAACACCTAAGGAAGAAGAAAAACCGACCACCACCAATAAAGAAACTCTTCAAATTCCAAATGAATCAACTCCGGATTTGATTTCTGAGGACTCCCTTGATTTTAATGCATTTCTTTCTAACGAGCATCCAGCCTTTGGAGCTGCTTATATTGATGGGGATTCCGACTGGGACTGCAACCGTGAAAACAACTTTATATCATTTGATTCCGAATGGGACTCTGATTTTAGTGATGATCTAGAAAATAGCAATGTTATGGTTGAAAGGAAAAAGAAATCTTCTAAAATGCCCGATGAGGATATGAGTGAAAAGTTTCGGGAACATTTCCTTGTGACTTTTCAAAACCTGCCCAGACTATCACAGATATCTTTGGATGAAAACCGAAGCAACAAAAGTAATACGGAAATCAAAGTTTTAGAAACTGATGGACTTGATAAAACGACTTTACAGGTTTTCGAGCAGGATAATGCAGACAATTCGAATGAAGACCTTATTACTTCAAACTATGATGTGAACAAAAATTCTAAATTGGACAATTTTAAAAACACCGCAAAATTAGATACGGCTATTGTGGATGCTAAAACTAAAACGATTGAAAATGAAAATATTGAGAGTCCTGTTTCAAATAACACAATACCAGCCGTGCCCAAAGATGAAGATCTAGATCAAGACGAAAATAGAAAAAGGCTTTCCTAACTGACAACTAATATTAAAATTAAAAAGAATTTTCTATGAAATTTCTACCAAATTTTAAAATGATTTTGTTTAATAAAATCAATCCGTTAAATCGCCTACTATAAATACAAATCTTTCCTTTTTTTTTTGTGACCTAACAGGCGTGGCCACTTCAAAGTCTAATCATCGCCCGGGAAACCAAAAGGACGAAAAGCCTGCCATAACCATGGAACAAAAATGTTCGGGCAACTTCATGACGCTAAATTAACTAGCAGACATTTCTATTAGTTCGGAATGAATGCCAAGGCAATTTACGCTTAATATATGCATGATGCTGTCCGCTTGATAAAACTCGAAGAATGCCAGACTTTTCGGTGGGTGGTTGGTGGGTGATAGGTTGTAGGATTGTTGCTGGGCTTTCCAGGTTGTTCGGACGACGCGTCCTCCCCTACCGAGCTATCTCAATTTTTCCTTGCCACGTGGAAAAGTTTAGTTTTTTTTTTAACTTTGCCTGCTGGCTTTTAATGAATTTAATGACATGGAAATGGCCAACAAACGTTTTGAATTTTAATTCATCAGGTCACATATTCTTTATACTTTAACGAAATCAGGCACAATGTTTTGTGTGTATTTAATTAAAATAAGATATTCAAATCTTAAAAATGTGGATAAAATTATTTTAAAAGCCTGCCATTCCATCAATACCAAATCGAAAAGTTATCAAAATAATCGGCTAAAATCATTGTTATCCCCTGGGAAGGTAATTTGCTTGCTGGTATTTTAGATACACACCCTAAACGAATCGAAAGGGTATTTGTATCTTCTTTGGAAAATGCAACAGCCCAAAAGTCCTCCGAGTCCTGGGGAAAACGATTGCCAGTGAGCTGTCTCAGGGAACTCCCAAAGTACCTTTTCACACATGAGCGCCCCAGTCGCAGGATAAAAACAAGAAAGCAAAGCTAACTTCGGGCGGAGCCGAAGTTGATATACCCTTGCAGTTAAAACCGGATATATATCGCAAACATCGGATATAGTTGGCCGATCCTTATGAGAATAGGAATATATAATCCAATTTATTACAATACAAAATCTAAAAAAAGTCCCAAACTTCTATCTTCAAAAATACGAAAGTTGATATTTCTACCAAATACCATTTCCGATCGTTCAGTTATATGGCAGCTATAGGATATAGTCGGCCGATCCTAATGAAATTTGGTAGGTCGGATCAACTGACCAAATATATAATCTTTACCAAGTTCCAGCTTTCTATCTTCAAAAACACGAAAGTTGGGTCATTTCCGATCAATCAGTTATATGGCAGCTATAGGATATAGTCTGCCGATCCTTATGAAATTTGGCATGTCGTAATGTTTTGCCAAAAATAGCTCTCATGTCAAATTTGAACTCTCTAACTCTAAAAACACCAAAGTTATACCATTTCCGATCAATCAGTTATATGGCAGCTATAGGATATAGTCGGCCGATCCGGGCCGTTCCGACTTATATACTGCGTGCAAAGGAAAGAAGGGTGTGTGCAAAGTTTCAAGACGATAGCTTTAAAACTGAGAGACTAGTTTGCGTAGAAACAGACAGACGGACAGACAGACGGACAGACAGACGGACAGACGGACAGACGGACATGCTCATATCAACTCAGGAGGTGATCCTGATCAAGAATATATATACTTTATAGGGTCTGAGATGTCTCCTTCACTGCGTTGCACACTTTTGACCAAAATTATAATACCCTCTGCAAGGGTATAACAACAACAACATGAAAGCCAGAGGCAGGACATCAGACATGGAGTTGTGGGGTTGGTGGGATATGGAACCCTCAATCCTCCCGTCGTTTGCTGTTGTTGTAAATCACAAAGTGAAACCGAAACCGTTAACGTGTTGCGGTTACGCTTCTGACTTTGCTCTGAGCTGCAAAAAAAAAAGGAAAAAAGTAAAAAGGGAGAACTGAAGCAAGTCATTCCATTTGTGAGGCTTTATTAAATGGAACTGAGTTGGGGCAATGTCCTGTCTCGGATTTTTTATTGCGATTTTTTTTTGCAATGTTTTGAGGCCTTTGTGTGAGTTTATCAAACTCCTTACATTTGTTTTCCTGCAAAACGGAGGCTGTTTTTTCCCAGCAAACTTTTCTTATTTAATGATTGCTTTTAGAGAGCAGATTCGATTGGGGGAGCCATGAGATGGTTTCGCATTTCAGCTTGAGAAATGTGAAATTGTTCCAGTTCCTTGTAGATTTGTCAAATCTTTGACACAATGATGCATAACGTTATCTGAGATTTAGGAAACACAAAAAAACCACCCAACAAAACAAGCGACTTTGCGAATTAATCTTCTTAATGTTTTGGGCCTGGGTACTTAGAAGCCGAAATCACTTAATGCGATTGCCGAAAAAGGAGTTCTGGGTATCTGCTAATTGGTCTGCCCCCGCCAGAAGATGCACCTTGAAAATGCGCGTATCCCTAGGATACTCGGACTCGGTGCACTTTAGATGAATATAATCATATCACTTTCCGCACGATTTAACAGCAACGCAATTTTGACGAGACTCGGTCCAGAAGAAGGCTGTTAGCATGGCAACCGCATTGTCTGCTCCTGCATGTCCATTCATTTCTATATTTTTGCACTGAAAATGTAAGTGGAAAAGTTTTTTTATAAGAATAGATCAAAATTTAAAATTCACATTTTGATTATATTATAATCTTAAGTTAAAAATATTGATATATATAATATTCATAGTTTTTTTTCCTGATCAATTATTTTTTCTGTGTTCCATTTAAGTTAGTTCAATACTTTTTTTTGGCTTCGCATTGATTGCTCCGCAATTGCGCAATTTCGCCCACTGACAGCATTCCGCCCACTGAAATATTGCACAGCATGCGGAGGAGTATCGGGGTGACTGGGAATATGACTAAAGTCGGGGCTCCTGTACCGCTGCCATGACGCATAAGCTGCGATAAAAACTGTTGTTCGATAAGCATTTTGTTTGCCTGTGCCGGGAGTTGTTATGGAGTCTGTGACTCAACAAAAGTCATGAACTTTTGTGGTAATTCTGGGCAGAGGGGAATCCAAGGAAGGAAACATCTTCGATGAAGCCATAACGAATCAGTATTTTATGTAGAACTTTCTAAAGTTCTTTGAAATTGTGCAAAACTGTAAGGATTCTAAAAATGTATTTGACTTGGGGCATGTTAGTCATACACATACTTATGTATATGTTGCAATGGACTGATTGATAATAAAAATTGTTCCTATCAATAATATGTACATCTATATTTAAATTTCATACAATTGGAACTTTAAAACATTGCCTCTGCTTCATTATTTTTTTTATAATAAATTTCCTAGTAAAAAATTATCATCATTTACCGAAAAAAGTTCACGAATGTAAAGAGCAACTATTTAATAAAAAAAAATTTTAAGTGGAAATCTTGACTTTGGTGACTTTCTTCCAAATTTGTACTATATATGGTTAATCAGAAGTACTTTCTGTGATAGCCTTCTTAAAACTTGTGAAAAAACTCCTAAAAAATATGGTGTGTTTGTGCTTATTTAGTATAAATTGCCCGGGACTATTATTAACTTTGCTTAGTTAGTTCTGAATTCCAAGTCGTAAAGTGCACAAGAAGTTCGCGATGGATGCGGGTCGTATAGTTATTGTTCTATCCATATTACTTCTGGCAGACTTTAGTTTTTGCTCTGAAGATTTATCCGAAGAATTAAAAAACGTAGATATGTTGGATTCTGTAGAACATCCAAAACTCATCGAGAAAAGAGACATTCTAAGAAAAAATCCATTAACGGGCTTAACAGCTTATCAGCTTATTGACCTTGTCGAGAAACAAAATGAAAGTATTAGAATGCAAAACGAGACAATAAGTGAGTTTAAATTTCAAATGAGCCAAATGTCCTCGGTAATTTCAAAAAATGATGAAATTATTAACGAAAAAGACGAAGAAATTCTAGCCAAAGAGAATGAAATCTTGGAAAAAAATAAGGAAATTAAAAGAATACAGGAACTATTGGTGGAACAGGAAAATGTTATCCAAGAAAAAACACAGATGATCGATAGAAACAACGAACTTTCGATAAAAAGAGACAAAGAATTCCACGAAAAAGAGGAAATCTTAGATAAGCAAAAACAGGAACTAACTGATCAAGTAAATTCAATCTCACAAAATCTGTCAGGAACCATAGATGAACTTTCAAAATGTATTGAAGTTGATAATTGTCCCTACGTAGGAACTGGAATTTATAAAATAAAGCTCCCCACTTCACCTTCATTTGAGGTGGCATGTGACGGAAATGGATGGATCGTAATCCTGAGAAGAATGGACGGAAGTGTAGACTTCAACCGCACTTGGATTGAATACAAAGAAGGCTTTGGCAATATAACTGGAGAGTTTTTTATTGGCCTAGAAAAGTTGCATTTAATAACTCAGTCAAGGCCTTATGAACTTAAAATCCAGTTGGGCGACATTGATGGAGACACAGGGCTCGCTCAGTACGATGATTTTCAGATTGCCAGCGAAGAGAAATTTTATGCTTTGGATATATTGGGGAGGTGTTCCGGAAATGCCAGAGACGCTCTAAATTTTCATAGAAACATGAATTTCTCGACTTTCGACAACGATAATGACAAGGATATTGATGGAAATTGTGGTAAATACTACGGTGCTGGCTGGTGGTTCAATCATTGTTCTACAAGGTAAATCCTAATTTTGAATTCGAAAACAAACCATTAAACGTGTTTATTTTTTAGTGCACTGACTGGAAAGTATAACCAGGATGGCCGGACCCGGGGCGCGGTTGAGGGGATCATGTGGACACTTTGGAAGCCAAAGGAAATCTCTCTAACAACTGCTCAAATGATGATAAGACCTAAGTTTAATTTACTTTAGAATTATCAAAGTTGTTATTTTTTTTAATTGTTTTTTATTTCCGGCAATAAAACTACATACATACCATAAAAAAAATCAAAAATAAAAATATAACCTTCCTCTTATTTCCTAAATACCATTATTTTTTAAAGAACATCGTTTCGAAATATAAATATTCATTTTTGAATGTCTTCTAAGCTGTGATATACTTTGTAGACCCGTTCTTCAGTTTATGGCCCCTCAGATGTATGCTATGATGTTCGTTCGTACCCTGTCCTTGACTTTAACACCCACCTCCAGGGCCCCCTACCAAAAAACCTGCCGTAGGTAGGCATAATATTCATTATGAACGGCTTATGCGATTTCCCCTGGGCCCGCACTAAGCCTCTTCACAGCGATTGTGTGCCCCCCACACCCAAATACCATCCACACACATCGAGACACTCATGCATATGCACAGATATATATTTCGAGCTGTATTCATTTCGTTTTATGAAAGCCCTTTTGAATGAAATCCGATTTGCCGAACAGATTCGTCAGCAAATTGGCATCTCACATAAAAAAGGACGTCGAGGATGTTTACAAACTCCCTAAATTTGGAATGCCTGCAGGAAACCCAAAAAAAAAATAAATAAATATATTTTCAAAATAATTAATGATAAAACTGTCCTCGCAATGGTCATTGTTATTAGTTCTATGTTCTTGAAAAATAAAAGCCACCCCACACAGGTGCTCACGTGATATCCCACTGATTTTGAGGTCACACCCCCTTGATATACATCAGCCAAACATAAATGGGGGCGTATGGCTGCCAAGTTGGAAGGGTTGACGGAAATTGCATTTGCGCTGACCCAAATCAGATAAGATTCAGAGCCGACTTTCCCGTCCTCTTTCTTGCCCCGGATATGACATTAAAAGCGCATCAAAGCCGAATAAAAAATACGGAGAGCTACGCATCCGTATCCGCATACAGTCGCACCATCAACGGAAACTGGTGCCGTAATTACATTCGAGAAAAAAAGGAAATCAGGATATCAAAGATGTTTTAACTCAAATGGTTGATACTCTACCAAAAATATTACTTTTTACAAATTTTTTTATTTAATAAATAATAGATAAAAAACTAAATACATATTTAAATAAAATTGAATTTATATATGAGTCCTAGAATGGACTAATCATCAAAGTTATTACCTTTGAAGGTAAAGCTAGATTAAGCTAAGCAAAGGACTAAATCTGTCTTAATTTTTTTAGATGGTACTTTTGTATTACCTAAAACAGCATGCAGCCAAACCACCCCTAATACCCTTTCCTTATCCGCTAAGGAGCTCATTGCTGGTCATTTGCGCTCCACTTTAACCTTGATCCGGCCCCGGTGGCTCAGCTTCGATTTGCCCTTTGTTTGTGCCATTAAATTAAATATCCTCGCCCTGCCTGAAGCTCGACCTCTGACTGAGAATCCTCATCTTCGATGCCCAGGAACAATGCCGGCAATTTCTCCCATTTCCTTAATAGAAATCTTATCTTTTGTGACGCTTTCGTCTAGCTCTGAAAAAAAGTAGTCGTGTGCCTAAGCCGGATATCACACCTTTGACATCTGTCTGGACGTAGCAACTCTGTGCTGGGCTTTCACACAAAACCTACATCCGGTCACAGCTTTTGGAAAAAAAACCGTTGAAAAAGAAAAATTGCAAGATTTATTTTATGGAAAAATAAAAGACTATTAAGCATGAGCCGCCGACGAGAATTACGGATGGAAGGATGCTTTCCTCAGAAAGGTAATATTTCAGTATCAGTAATTACATGCACAAACTTAATTAACTTTAAACGATTTAAAGATTCTGTTGCGAAGACAGCCAAGCCACAATACAGTTTCCCCATAGCTTGCGACGACAGGGAACGCTACCCAAAACGTTCTTCCCCGATACTTAGTCGACATGAACTACAATGTGTACACCCGGAACTCGGCAAATTTGTAAAGAACACTAATGTGACTACGAAGAGCGTCTCGCCCAAGTCAAAGGACAAAAATATAAGGTCAAAGGACGTCGCCCAAAGCGACGACAGGGAACGCTACCCAAAGTGTTCTGCTCCGATACTTAGTCGTCATGATCTACGCTGTGTACACCCGGAACTCGGCAAATTTTTAAAGGACACTAATGTGACTACGAAGAGCGTCTCGGCCAAGCCAAAGGACAAACATAATATCTCGCTGCCTGAGGAAAAGAACATCGCATGCAACGACAGGGAACGCTACCCGAAACGTTCTACGCCGATACTTTATGATAGTCGTCAAGATCCAAGCTGTGGACGCCCGGAACTCGCCAAATTTGTAAAGGACACTAATGAGACTATGAAGAGCGTCTCGCCCAAGCCAAGGGACAAATATCAAAGGTCAAAGGACGTCGTCCAAGGCGACGAGAGGGAACGCTACCCAAAGCGTTCTGCTCCGATACTTAGTCGGCATGATCTACAATGTGTGCGCCCGGAACTCGCCAAATGTGTAAAGGACACTAAGGTGACTACTAAGAGCGTCTCGCCCAAGCCAAAGGACAAAAAAAACACCTCGCTCCCTGAAAAAGAGAAGATCTCAAAGGTAAACAGTACCCACAAGGACACTCCGAAATTCGAAGATATACGATATCCACAGAACAAGTACCTATGGACCCGCTTGGTTTGCTCCAAGGATGGATACCGGAAATATGAAGTATATAAAGAAAGCAGCGCTGAAAACGTGCCAATTTCAGAACAGACTCCAGTGATTGTGTTACTACTGCTTCCTAACGCGTTTCTAATGCCTTTTACGACAATGCTAGACGTAAAGAAAAAAAAGCTTCAATAATTTGTTTACCTATTCGTATTTTCCTGTGTCTCATATAAATTTGTATCATATGTTATAATATAATATAATTAATATAATTATTATTATGATTTAAAAGTAAACAATTCTGCTTTGTCTTTTTTTTTTTAGGGGTGCAAAGATTTCTTCTGTTTATTTATTTGATTAAACATAAAAAGGTAAGAAAATTTTATTATATTTCGAAGAACGTCGGCAATGTCGTATCCAAACCACGTCTTAAAAATCGGGGATAACGATTCATAAAGCTCATAAATATAGTAATGTCTCTAATCGAACCATATTTTAAAAACATTTCAAAGGATTCGTACTTGCCCCAAAAACTAATTTTTTTATTTTCAGTTTCCGTCCGTTAAGAAAAGAATTAGCTTATTTAGAAGCAATCTTTTTGAATACATTGTATCTATCACAGCCGAAGCCTAAGATGGCAGCGTTTAGTTCTTAAGTAGTATACGTTTTGTACTCATATTTTCTTTGTCAAATAAATAACATTTTATCATTTATTTTTTCCTTTCTTCGTATCATACATGGAATTTAACCTGTCCACGTCGATATTAGACCATTCTTGACTATCTAATCAAAAAATAGGACCCTAACTTCTTAGGATATGACTCAAACCAAACATAATATACAAAATACAAATCAATATTTCCTTGCATTTTCTGTTAAAGATGTTTAGAAGTTTTCGCACCAAAGCCACATAATTACACAATACTAACGTCCGGTCAGGCTCTTAGAAATTTTTTTTATTTGTTTAAATTATTACTTGTAGAAGCTATAACCACTTTTTAGTATGGACTGTTGTTCATCACAGCCTGGGTGCTCCTGTGACTCCCAAATGGGTATCAGCTTCGAACGCGAGCCGCGCAGTATTTTTAAAGATATGTTGGGTCCATTTCCGGACGAGGTCCTCATGACGGTTCTAGATCGTATACTCTATCTTTGCGGTGCCACCAAGATCATACGCACCATGGCCATGGGGAACCAAATAGCACCTTTAGTAGCTGGAAAGGGTACGTGAGTTTCCAACCGGCTAAATCCAATACATGTTCAAACGTTTTTTCAGACAGTCCCAAGGAGAACCCCAAGGCCAGTTGCCTACCACCGCCGTCATGTCGATCGAGCAGCTGCACTTCAGTCTACAGCATGTTGCCGCAACCCTCTTCTACAAGGACTTGCTGTAGTAGCCGTCGGGAAGATTCTTGTCGCACTTGCCCTTCACCATGCATCAGATCCCTTAACAAAATTCACGCCGCTACCTGTTCTCCACGCCAACGCGCTGCCAGGGTGGACTTTGCTAATCCTGTGGATGATGTGCCCAATAAACGACAATTCGCTGGAAGCTCCGATATAAAAAATCGGTTGAAACGGTCCCTTTCTATCTGCTCCATGGCCTGTCAGAATTTAAAAAACAAGCTGAATTCTCAGAATTCGCCGCCACACAAGAAACAGACGTGGCTATGGACCCGACTGACTCGCTCCAAGGACGGCTGCAAGGTATACGAGGTATTTAAAAACTCCAATGTGGATAAAGCACCGTCCAGAAACCGCGCAAATGACCCAGTAATTATATTTCTGGTGATGCCAAATGGTTACATTATGCCCTTCGAATCTGTTGCCAATTAATGAATTGCAAAATTATTGCGTTGTACACTTTCATAGTTGCCTGGATCCTGGTCAATGTATTGTGCTTAGTTTCGTACAAACAGAAGCATTTTAATATTATGGACCTTACCTCCTGGTGTCTAAATTCGCATCTTATGTAATGGACATATATACACATGTTATTATATATACAGAAATATTTTAAAAATTAAATGTATATCAATTATCACATTTAAACCGCATGGTATTTGAATCATTTTAATTGTCATTTGGCATTAATAAGTAGTCGATGGGTAATTTTCCAAAATACTAAACTGTACAAAAGATCTATAAAAGCTAAGCTAATCTTATGCCCTTTCTAAGCATTATAAACACGGCTCCGGCGCAGGTCAATGTGTATAACGACAATATTAAAACACACTCAAAACCATTTCGCTTGCCTGGATTAAGAGCCATGTTGACAATACCCGTAAGGAAGTTTGAGAGCATAAAATGAGTTAGACCATTCATGTTTAGACTTTCTACAAAGGTGGGTAGAGAGTGAGTTGTAAGCTTATGATTCTTGGCATCTCCCACCGATTTTTGCATCTTGATAGCTAAATTAACTAACTTCAGCTCAAAGATAAAAGCATATATAAGAATGAGACTGATGGATACAGCAAAGATCCAAATCACATAGCCGAAGTTAAAGGTCACCCGAGCAATACCGGTGAGATAGGCACTTGTAAAAACTAAGCTCCAGCAAACTGTAACCATTAGGAACATTTTTCCAAACTTCGTAAGTAACTGATGATAATTTAGCTGATCTTGGGAGGTGTACCACTTGGCAAAGTAAATGCTGAGCAAATAGAGAGCCACGCAGCCATGTAGCGAACTTAGTCCTTCCCGATTAGCAGTGAAAAATCCTTCACGTGAATCTGAAGCCATAACAAAGGAAGAAACCCCTAGTTGTAGGATAACTTCGTGGAAGACCAGCAAGCCTTAAAAATGAAACTTTGAAAAAATGTGTTTGTCAAGTTTATTTTAATCTCTTACCCAGAGCAAGACCAAGAAGTTGAGCATCCGAACTCACCAACAAAGAGTACAAGCTTCCCAAGAGCTTGGTGAATCCTAGGATGAAGAAGGCATTTAAATGCTTTCCATACTCCGAATCGTCTTGATGATAGTCGATGATGGTTATTACCAAGGTGCGCGCCAGACCCAGGACTAGCAGAGGAACCACAGATTTTGGCAACTTTTTGAGGTCTGCTAAAGATTTGGTCCTTTGCGAAACTAGGCCCATGTTAACCACAAACAGACCAATACCCATGTCCATTGCTGATGCCCCAAACGTTCGACTCTTGCGATAGTCATGGGGATAAAAAGGAAAGTCGACGGCGAGGATAGCGACGCAGGTTCCACTGTATGCCGTCGCTCTTAGCAATGTAAAGACATTGGGTCGTTTGCCAATCACATATTTGAAATCTTTTCCGGGATGGTAGTGATGTCCAAATAGATAACCAATGATGGCTATGGAGCCCACCAGCGAATAGGAGTAGCTGTAAGCCTTTCCCACGGTGACCAAAATCACAGAGGGCAATCCAATCAACAGAAACTCGAAAAAAAACCTCCGGGTAGATGTCAGCGACAGGTGTCCACAAATAATTCGAGAAAGGACGAAACCCAGGAGCGTAGGTAGTATGACCAGAAAACTATCCACACTCTCCAAAACTGACCTCCAAGACTTCAAATCCAAAATTAATTGGTCGTGGGCGATGGGTTCGTTGACTTCCAAGTCCATGATTCATGCTTTTTTGTGTTACCAAAGATAGAAACGGAGGTCTAACAATTTGTATCAACCGGCTTACTGAAAAATGTAAACAAAATCGGAAAGTGATGTGAGTATTTCGATAACAAACCTCTTTTCCTTTCGAAAAATTTCCCAAGTTTGGTCATACTTTTATGTAAATTTAAATTTTCAAATATTTAAAAAAATAAAGTTTTAAGGTTTCTATTAAGTACATAATACCATTTTATTTGGGTCTAGCCAGTTAAGTAAATGCATTAAATCACAATCGGGGCAAGCTAAAGCTCGGTATGCTGCGTTTTATGAGGATTTTCAGGCTCTCCTTGAGAATATTCCTTATGTGCTCGTACATCCTTGGCTGCTTCAGCAACAAGATGGACGAACTCTTCGACATCAAAGCTATAGTTGGTAAACTTGGCATGGGCTCCGCCTTCTGGGTGATGGCCCTCATCCTGCGGATACACCAGCTCCTTCTGCTCCCAAGTTCTATAACGAACTCCACGCAGTCGCGCCAAATCCTTGTAACAGTTGGGATCCTCGCAGTTATAAAGCTCAAATATGCAAGCCCAGTTAGGCAGGAAAAGCAAGTGCGTCAGACCAGCGCCATGCATGCCGATGAGTATATCCGTATTCCGAGTTATGGCCAATTGGTCGGGAAACGAGAGCCTGTTTAAAGAAAAAAAAAAAAATAATATAAAATATTCGTAATCCCCTTTAGAAAAATACCTCTCGTAGGAGGCGCGCTGCACAGAGTAATCCTCGTTTGCCTCTAGCCGGGCCAGTAGCTCCTCTTCGTTGAGCACTTTTCGGTACTTTGTGCGGCGCGAAAGGTATGTGATGCGAAGTTTTCTCCGTGGTGGCTCGTAAGGAATTTGGAGGCGATGTAGAATAAACTCGGAAAATGCTCGGAAAAGGCCACTATTCGAACAGCCCTGAATCTATAAAATAAATCTTTTATTAAAAGAAAAGGGAAGTTATATTGTGGCTGCTTACAATTGGTGTATTATAAAACAATCCAAAAATCATCCTGGGCAACAGGGGAAGCACAACATTCCTGAAGCACACCCTCTTTCCCTCCAAATCGCTCAATGTCCACACGGGTCGTTGCGAGAATGCCTTGAAAGTGTCCCGGAACGGAGAATCATACGGATAGGTTTCCCAAATCAGTATTTGAACATCCGTGTTAAAGGCTGCTGGATGTGATTGGTTGACAAAAAGCGAGGCATATAGGTTGAAGAAGTCGCAGAAGTGATGGTACATGTTGTACGTCGCATCGATTTTCATAATGAAAGTGGGCGTATTCACCACCTCATCGCAGAGGCCGCTCTCCAAAATGGGATGAGGTAATACATCAAAGTTTCGTAGTTCCGGACCCCAGGACTGCAGCGCCGATCCTATATGGTCCATTTCGGCAGACATTCTAGTGCGATTCAGCTCACAATGGCCCAGAAGTTGTCCAGGTCTGAGGACATCCATGTGGTAACGTATACGCTCTGTCCGATGGGTCAAATCCCGGAAATCGAAGAGCAGATTTCGGCCACGGCAAAAACGTAGATAGTGAGTGCACTCCAGCGAAGAATCACCCAGATAGGTGGGGACACACTGGGGTGTCAACTCCGCCAGCTGTTCCTGGATATAACCAAAGTCTGCCTGTTGATAGAACGTGTTGATCTGAGCCTCTTTGCTTCTGGCCCAGCCAGTGTGATCTCCGGGGCATTGAGGCGTCTGGAAACGGGCATCTGGGGAACAGCCACGCTCGTGTCCCCAGCAAGCAGTTGATATAATCTTTGTCCCATTGGTTGGCAATTGCTTTTTCAGCTTTGGAAAGGTGTTGAGGTAACGGATAAGATGCTCGGACGGCAGGTTGGGCAAGGTCAGCTTGGATGCCAGGTGCTTGGCATCTTCGTGATGATGATCCATTCCCAAGGTCAGGGATATAATCCCCGTGAGTATCAGCAGGATTGGCATTTTGTTTTGGTTGCAAATTAAGTACTTCGTTGCAGTCGATTTCTCGGCGATTTCCCAAGCTTTCACGGCACCATCTTCAGGTGCATTTCACGGCCAGCGAAGATGATGATCTCACCTGGCCTTAAGCGGCGGAGATGATGATTATGAGCGGCTTAATGTTAATGGTCCATGTTAATTGTTAGCCGAAGTCATCCGGGGAAAAAAACCTGTCCACCAGTGTGACCAGCAGTGTGAATGCTAATAAAAACAAAACAAAACAAAAACAAACCCTTACCCTTAATATTTTCAAGGTTTTAGTTACGGTAGGTTTACTAATTTTAAAATTAACCCGGAACAGTCAAACCCTACGTTGAACAATACTTAAAGTAATTACTATTTTTCAAATTTTCTGCAAATGCACGCCAACTAATCGATTAATCGAATAGTCCAATCGCGAAAAGCTACTATCAGCAAACAGCTGTTGCAGATATTTGACTTTTTCTTGACTTTGATACAATTTTCTCAGCGTACGAAAAAAGCGCAAAAAATACGCGATGCGTAATGTGCCGAAATCGTAATTACTACTGAAATTATTTACTTATCTTCAACTATACGACTAATTTTCCGTTTACTAGACTCGGTCTCTCGGTCACAACTCCTGGAGGGAGTACTGGGGCTCCGGATGGACGCCACAACAGCCTGGAAGACATCAACTTGGACCAGTTTTTGAAGACCTCCAATTATGAAGACACCGTCAAGCAGTTGGACATTTACTATGGCCTCGGTAAGAAGCGGAGACTTTAATTTATATAACCTTGGAACCCTCAATTGGGGCATTTATTGCGAGCGATACGCCAATGCGGCGTTTATTAATATATTCCCCCCTGCACCGCGCAAACTGTTGACGCCCCAGGTTAATTGTAAACAGATTCGTTTGTTTATTTGCATAGCTGTTCAATAAACGAGAGATAACCGGCAATTTTAACACTTTCACCCTTAGTCAAACGACAACTGCTGCGGTACCAGAGCCCCATCACAGGATTGTTTCCGGTGATGAGCACCGACCAGGTTGTGGGATCCGTGCGAGACAGTGTCTACTGTGCGGCCGCAGTGTGGAGCTTGTACCAGGCCTACAGACGCATCGATGACGATCGTGGCAAGTCCTACGAGCTGGGCCAGAGCACGGTAAAATGCATGCGCGGCATCCTTGAGTGCTGGGTGAAGCAGGCTTCCCGTGTGGAGCTATTCAAGCAGCGTCAGTCTAACCAGCATGCTCTGCACAGCAAGTTCCAGCTGCACACAGGCGAGAAGATCTACCCGGATGAGTTCTACAATCATTTACAGATCGATTGCGTGAGTCGAAGATGCCTTCCAATGAAAAGTTTATAGTCTAAATTAATGATTAATCCTCTTTAGGTGTCGCTGTATCTGCTGTTCCTCGTCCAGATGATAACCTCCGGCCTGCAGATCATCTACACCCACGACGAGGTGGCCTTTGTTCAGAATCTCGTGTACTATGTGGAGCGTGCCTATCGCACGCCCGACTTTGGAATGTGGGAGCGGGGCTCCAAGTACAATAATGGAACTCCCGAGATCCATGCCTCTTCCATTGGCATGGCCAAGTCTGCTTTGGAGGCCATCAATGGCTGCAACTTGTTTGGGGAGAAGGGGGCATCCTGGAGCGTGGTGTACGTAGATATTGATGCCCACAACCGCAATCGTAGTATTTTCGAAACTATGCTGCCAAGGGAGTCGAGCTCAAAGGTTTCTTTTGAATTATTAGCTGTTTTTCTATTTACTTATATCTTTTTTTTTCAGGGTGTTGATGCCTCTTTACTGCTGACCCTCTCGTTCCCAGCTTTTGCCTCGCACGAGGATCGCTTGGTGGAGCAGACCAAACAGAACGTGGTAAACCGTTTGCGCAGCAAGATGGGCTTCAAACGCTTCACACGGGATGGTTTCCTCAGCAAAAATGAAGATAAAACCCGCCGTTACTATCACTCTGGGGAATTGAAAGAGTTCGAGGGCCTCGAATGCGAATGGCCATTGTTTTTCATAGCCATGATTATCGATGGAGTTTTCAAGAACAACCACGAGCAGATCGAAGAGTTTCAAAACGATCTGCGCCGCTGCCTGCGCACTGATGCCAATGGAGATCCCGTTGTGACTATGTATTATGCTCCCGATGGAGATGGTTCCTATATGCGTGCTCCCTCGCAATCTCTGTTCCTCTGGGGTCAGTCGTTCTTCATTATTGCACAGCTGCTGACTGCACAGCTACTCCATATCAACGAATTGGATCCGATTCGTAGATATTTGCCAAGCTACAATCGTCCTAGACGGGCAGGTCGCTACTCTGCTTTTCAGGTAAGTTGGAATCAGAAACTAGGTGGGGTATTGCGCTATGAAATGATCATTTAAATTGTAAAATATGCAAAGTTTTCATTGAACCAAAATGAATAAGTTTATTTATTTTATTTTAAAAACTGAGATTTATGGTTTGAATTCCAAAACTTTGCATATAATTTTCAAGTAATTTCGAATTACGAAGTGTCTTGATGTTCATTGGTTATCCATTTCAAAGCGTAGGGTTTATGGGATTTCCGATTTGCTCAATTGGGGGTCTCCGCTGCTGCCACCGCCGCCGCTGCCGCTGATGAGTTTTGTGTGTCTGCCGTGTGTGTCTGCGTTCGCTCCTAATTGGAATCTCCTATTACACATAAGTGTTTTGTTTCCTTAGTAAATTGTATGGGTTAAGTGAATAATTGGCTCCGATATTTAATTCTATCTACATTCTGTTCATCTTCTACTACCAACTACAAACCACTACCACATACTACCGCTACCTACACCCATCTTTATACAAAAAACAATCGAAACAAAATCAAACTGTCCATAAAATCCCCAAAATTGTATACATATTAATTGGTTTCGTAATAACAGGGCAAAGCTATTGACGAAAAACACAAAGTAAGTAGATGTTCTGCTATGCAATCAATATAATTGATATTCGAAATTCAAAATTATGTAGACCTAAAAATATTTATACCTATGTGTACAAAATTAAATTATGCTTTTTAGATCAAAGACACTGTCGCACTAAAGATCACCTAGATTTATTTATTTTTTGTGGCTTTTTAGAGTTCAGCCAGACACACTGATCGAAAAGACATGATTATGACACACTGAACGATCAAAACACACAACACATTATTTAAATAATTATTTGCTTACTTTATACATAGAACTTATAATTTCTGTATGTCTGTTTTAATTGTATATAGTAATTCAAATTTTTTTCGGTATCTAAATCAAAAGTTTTCTCTTTACTCTTTTCGGTTTCTTTCCACTCTCTATATACCTATCAATATATACCGCATATTTTGTTTAAAAAATAAAATAAAATAAAACATCAACCTATACACACACGCTCTATAGGCTAAACCGGGCACTGTAAGTAATTTATCACCAGAAGTTTGGGTTTCTTTAGTAGTTTGCAGTTGCTAACTTGTTGTACTTAACCCTGAAAGAACGATGCCGCTCAATTTGGCCTAATGTCACTCTAAAAGTGTTAACACTGAATGATTTAATTGGCTTTCAATAAAAACCACTATCGTTCCTACATTTTTTTTTATTTTTTTGGGGGACTGCTTGAAAACAAAATGCCAATATGACAGCAGCTTTGCTTGAGTCCTTAAAAATGAACTACCACTTATTAACCGTCATTGCTAAAAACAATATCCATATGTGTTTCTCCAATAATAACCAAAGAAACCACGCATTCCTCTTATTTTGGATCACAAGAAGGTAATTTGTGGTTACAACTTGGGCCTGGGACGGGCCTATCGTATTCTTTAGGAACAACAATTGGCATAGATTATAAACCTTGAATATGTCTCAAAAAGAGAGCCATGATAATTGCACCTTGTCACTATTTTTAACTCTTAAAGATCTTGAAGTAATCCTATTAAATATTTTCCAAATTCATTTGTAATTTTTTCCAAATTCGTTATGGGCATTGTTTATGTGTCCCATCTAATCCATGTTTGGCATGCTAAAATCTTAAATACCTTTAACTTATGTATCCCCACTCCTCCCACTGTATTACCCATCTGCTAGAATCCCGATTCCGATCCCTTCCCCAGCTCCTTTTGTGTGTTTTTGCATTTTGGCATTTGGCTAGTGAAAATTTTCTTGTCACGTGATTAAAATCCAAGAATCTTGAATTGGCCTCATGCATCCTAACATGTTTAATCCCGCCATTAAAGGAATTATTCAATTTCTAATAATTTCTGGGTGATCCTTACAGGGCACAGCCACAGATCTTGTAGTACAGATCGTCCTGATTGCAGAGTCCATGCGACTGCAGGCCATGATGGCCACCTATGGCATTCAAACCCAAACGCCCCATGAGGTAAGCTAATGTCTTAGTATTTTTTTCCTTTTTTATAATCCTTATATTGTCCAGGTGGAACCTGTACAAATCTGGAGCTCCACGGAGCTTATTAAAGTCTATCAACACTTGGGCGTCAACAACAAGGTTGGTCTTTCTGGACGTCCCTCCCGACCCGTCGGTTCCTTGGGCACCAGCAAGGTGTATCGCATCTGCGGAATGACAGTTCTTTGCTATCCTCTAATCTTCGAGGTGTCCGACTTTTATTTATATCGAGACATGGCCCTCCTTATTGACGATATCAAGACGGAGCTGCAGTTCGTCGGCAAATACTGGCGGCTGTCCGGCAGGCCCACTGTCTGCCTGCTCATCCGGGAGGAGCACATGCGTGATCCGCAGTTCAAGGAGATGCTGGATCTGCTGGCCATGCTCAAGAAGGGCTATTGCGATGGCATGAAGGTGCGCATCGGTAGACTGCAGAACTTGATTAGCAGCTCGTGTATAGAGCATCTGGACTTTATGAACCAGAGCGATTTGACGGACAATGAGAATGCATTCTCGCAGATAAACCACGAGTATATTGGCTACCAATCCCTGACAGATGTGCCCAAGGCTTTGACATACGTGGAAGAGAAGGTCTCCGTGGCGGTAAATAAACTGAAAACTTATAGTTGAATATCTACCACATTATCTGTTTCCAAATTCCAGCAGCACTTTGACAAGAAACCAACTCCTGACATCATCAACGCTCTTCGCAATACGGACTCCATTTACTGCCTGTGCCAACTCTGGGGTATTCTGTTGAACCGCGAAGGTCCCCATTTCGAGGTGAATGGCTTGAATGTGAACACGGCTCTTACGCAGCTTTACCATCGAGCCGGATCCTTGCGCTACTGGCGTGCCGTGAGATATTGCTCCTCTCTTCTCCACCACATTGTGGATTCCATCAGCCCTTTCATCACCACTGTGCTGGTAAACGGCAAAGAACTGACTGTGGGCATCATTGGCCAAAAGGAGACGGTATTCGACAAGCCCATGACACCAGCGGAGATCCAGAACGTGATGTACACCAGCGTTCAGCCGTACGACGTCATCCAGGCGGTGTTGCAACAGGAGGTGGTCCTGTACTGTGGTCGTTTAATAGCCACCAATCCGTCTATGTTCAGGGGAATACTTAAAATCCGCATTGGCTGGGTACTAGAGGCTATGAGAATATACCTTCAAATCTCTGGACAGCAGAGCATAGATGTTGACAATCTGTCGCCCTTCCAAGTTCGTATTTTGTTGCAGAAAGTTTTAACCGTCAGCGAGTGGGCTACGGAAGAAAAGTGAGTTGTGGCATTAGTAGACTTATGAAGTTCTTTTTAATAAATAATTTGTGCTTTTTAGGCTCACTACCTTGCAGCGTCGCCAACTGGAGGGCTGTTTGTGCCGCGTGCCAAAACATTTCTATAACAAAATCTGGGAAATCCTTCAGCGCACTCCTCAAGGTATTTTGACACAGGGTCATCATCTACCAGCCACACCGACTCTGACAAACATGAGTCGCGGAGAATTGACCTTTAATCTGTTGGTCGAAGAGACTCTTATTTGCATAGACCGGCCGGAGAGGCGCCAGATAACTGTGGAGCTATTGTGCATTGTGGCTACCATTCTCAATCGGTATGGAAAATCCTTATATAGTTTCTCATTCGTTTATTGATTGATTCCTGTTTCAAAAAGCAATCCTGAACTACACTTCAAACAAGTCCTGGATTTGGATGGCATCTTGGCCGAGGCCTTTTCCATGTACTGCAAGGATAACAATATCCAGCCGCAGCCACAGCAGTCTCAGACCGAGGATCTCAAGGCCTTCTACTCACTACCGTACTCGGAGACCACCGGTTACTTGGCTCGCGCCGCCGTCAACAAGGTCCTACAGGGCGGCGTTTTCTCAACCTCCGAGGAGGATGTCCAGCTCGATGGCGACCATCTGCACGACGACAACTGCAAGGTGTCATAAGCTGTGGCGGCTCCTTAAACATAAACTATGCTAATGTAGATAGCACAGTTTGCATATCTGACCCACCACTAGCTCGAATTTTGTGGCAATTTTATTCTGTTATTCTTATTTAACTTGTGTCCCCCTCTCGCCCGTTCGCCTAGTTCTTAATTAAATGTTATGTATATTTTGTTGCAATAATCGAAGGTGTTGCATGGGCCGAGTGTTTGATTAGTTAATAGGTCAATAGCACAGAGGGGTGGAAACTGAGAAAGCCAAGAAACTGAGGTTTCAGCCTTGCCTCCAAGCCATATCGATTGCCCCACAACTTATGTCACCCTCCAAGCAAGGTTGGCTATAAAAGCACTTGGCCGAGACGACACTCGGTTTACTTGGCCAACATGCGCGCCCCCGAGTGGATGAGCAATGAAATATCGCGGTTCACCTCGAAACTGGAACGCTACAAGCCAACGGGCAGTGGCTACAACCGTATCCAGTCGATTCGCCTATCGAAGAGTGTTACGCAAATGCTGAACAATCCCATGCCGGCGGCACAAAAGGATCAGGAGAGCTCCTTCACGACACCTCGACGGCGTGGCGTCCTTAGTCGCAGCGAATCCGAGTGGGAGGAGGTGTATCCTGCCGTAAAGTTTGTTCGCCAACAGAGCAGCGAGAGTGCCAGCAGTGGAGAGAGTGAGATCCGATTTACCCACTATCGGAATTGTTCCACTCGAATTCCCTAGGGGATTTTACTCCAATATTTGTAAAGTTTTATCTTTTTTATAAGTTTAATAAAAATTCAATTCTCAAGAATATATAAAAGGAGATTGTGTAAGCCATTTGTTTTTATTTTAGTACAATAGATTTCGATTCTTTATTTTAGTTCGTAAGTATTCCAGTTAAGCTTATGATGGAAAATTAAACACTAAAAAATAGATGCACTTTCTATATGTACGATTTAAGTTGTTCATTTCTTGGTACAAAAATTGTTTATTGTGATTTTTATATAAATCGATTTTAATTATTTTTTTTTATATGTATATAAAATAGCACATAAAGATTTAGTTAGCGCGATGTAACGTGTAAGAGATTGCCTATTGGAGATATAATTGTTATGATCAATTTCGATTTGAAGCCTACGCTCTGAAGCATTAAATAGATCCTACATTTAAATTTTGATATGAAATGGTCGCTCAAGCAAATGATATTTGCATTCGATACAAAAATATGCTATATGATATGCCTAAAATAATGTCAACGCTGTATATAGTATATGCAACATATTCGCTTTCGATATTTTTCCATCCGATCTAGGTCTATAACAAACAGTATTAACATATCTTTACATAATATCTTTAATCCGTTCTATAAAGGGCACACTGAGGCATATTGCAGCTTGGATAAATGTACGCGATTCGAAGCCATATCAGTTAATATTACACACATGATATTATTGATTCGTAAAAATATAAAACATTCATTATCTATCCATTAGTTTACCTACTTACTTAACTCGGATGCTTCGTATTAGGTTATTCGTTTAAATTTACGGTTTCTGTAAAATGCTAAATTCCCTGAAAATGAGTTTTCATCATTATTATTATTAATATAGTTAGTATCTCCAACTTGATCTTCCTTTTTTACACCTATTTAGGATTAACTTTAATAAATAAGTTTTGCTCTGCCTAGGCAGAATTGCAATTCACTAGTAATCATTCGTTTTTACACTAACAAACAGCAACACTTTGCTTACTTAAAGTCTAAATACATTGGCTTACAAACTAGGTACACAAATTACATACATATATAGGTTCAATATATGCAAAATAGTTGGTGTATACAATAATTTTCGACTTCTACAGTTTCACAGACGGGCAGTACTCTTGACAAAAAATCGAACGACTGTAAACTGTGTAAATGGGCGATGTGTTACTTTGTGTTTGGATTTGTGTGACTTTCCGTTTATAAAAATGTTTAAAAAGACTATGAAACCTACGATAACGCAATACGTACTAAATACGTAAAAAACTCTAGATTACTTAAGCGTTTGGGTTAGACCTATGTTATTGTGGCTGCTGCAGTTGCTCCGGCCGGCGCACACTCATTCGACTGGGAATCGAGTCCGTGTCGCCGTCATCGTCCACGTACTCCTCCTTGGGGCGGGTCCACTTGATCAGCGTCTCTGGCGAGCGGTACAGGAAGAGTAATTTGGCAAACAGGTCCTCCTCCAGCGCAAACTCCAGAGCCTCCCGTACAAGATAGATATCCAGACACAGTTGCAGCACGCGATCCACATAGGGCAGATCCTCGAACATGATCTTTCGGTTCTGCCCGCCGATGAACGACTTCATGAAGCGCGAGGCCAATAACACAAAGGTGGTGTACAATCCAATGATGCTGCAGAAACAGACATTTTACATGAAATTTCGATAGATTAAAAATATTCAAACACTAACCCGCCGGCTGTGAGAAAACTGAATGTCGATGGGAACTTCTTGTCGTTGAATGTGTACATCACGATGCCCGATGTGCAATTGCTGTAAGCGAACTTGGACAGGGTTTCGGTGTAGAAGGCATCTTCGCAATAGTCCCGAATCTCCCACCACAGCCCGTTGGTCTCGTTGTCGCGATGCATTTTGATGACCAGCGGGCGGTAGTCATTGTTCTTTTTGTTCAGTACACTGACCACTGCCGCGTCGCCCGAGTTTAGAACCTTGATGAACTTGGGTATCATTCCAGGTATCACCACGATGTCTTCGGCAGGCGACAATACTTTCACATCGGGTTGTGGGTTTGTTCCATTTGTTGAGTTAGTTCCATTTGCAGAAATATCTACGATTGGGGCTTGATCCAGTTCGTGGGTCTCGCTTAGCATTCTTATAAGTGCGGCACGTCCCTCGAAAGATTCATCCAAGGAAATGGCATGCTCATCACCCACATTTTCCTTCAACCCCTTGGCAGGAGCTTTGCGAGTGAGGGAGTACGAGAAACGCGCCTTTAAAGTATGATCTGCAATAAGAAAACAGGTTATTTAAACACTCTAATGGAAAGATTAAGCAGATCTTACTGTTTCTCAAATCATTTAGCAACCTTTGCCTGTCCGGCGGAGCTATATTCCATAGGGATGGCGAATTACCCGCCAGCTTCACTGCTGCCACATCCGTTGGATCGTATCCTGTTATAAAGGTCACTGCCTGTTTGTCCGAAATATAAGCATTCGTCATTTCAGAGTACATTGTTTGGTTTATCTCAAAGATGCTGTCATAATTGTTGGTGGTATAGATGGGGTCATACGGGCCTATACGAATCGATAATGACACATGATACGGCACATTCGACGTGCCCACGGCATTGCCCAGGGCAAAGAGACAGAGTGGTCCCCAGATGCAAATCACAATCAGCAGAACAACCGTACCGCCCATCAGCAGCTTCGAAAGAGAAGCCTTCTTCTGAGCGCGCATAGCCGGGAAATCCGTCTCCGACTGCCTGGTGCACCGGATGAGATAGATATTCGAGAAGATGTCTTCCATTTTCAGCCAATCGAAGATGGTCATTGTGCTGTCTATGCACACCCAATCCAGGATAGTTCGCAGCTCGTAGAGGAATGGTATCTGCATGTACACCTTGAAGGCAATCATGTTGACCATCGAGAAGCCCTTCGTGAAGAAGTTGCCCAGAATGCGCTTGGGGTAGCCGGACTTGATTTGATACGAGCTGAGGAGCATGTAGAAGCATTTGATGACATAGAAGATTATCGGTGGAGCCAATGAGTTGAAAGATCTTTCCGTAACAGCGGGCACCACAAAGAACATCCAGATATGTATTCCAATAACCGAAAAGAAGTGGAAGATGATCTTGTTGACGAGGGCTTTCCGCAAGTAGAGGGCTCTATCGATGACAATCAGCAAGAACTGGACCAGCAACATGATCAGGAAGGGTATGGGCACCTTGTTCTCAGCCAAATACGTTTGGACACCTTCATCGCTTTCGGTTTGTTGGGTCTGGAAAGAAAATACAACTTTTAGTTGGGTATAGACACCTTTAAATTAAGATTCCTTACTCCAAAAGCGGTGAAGCCGAACAGCAGTACGAAGAAGTTCACAAAATCGCAGAGGAACATCAGAGCATATACATCCGTGGCTAGACGAGATTTGTGAACCAGATTGAAGAAGAACTTGTGCAACGATGAAGTGTACTTCGTGCGTCTGTAATTTAAAGATATAGTTACGTAATAGGATTTTCAAAGCTATTTTACGAAATCGTACTCTAAAGGATTAATTCCCGTCTTGCTGTACTCCGGCGAACCTGGCAGGGAAGCCTGGCTAACTTGGAGGCTCATCTTCTGTGCCGCTTCTTCGTTCAACTGGCGGGAGTCGGGTTGCGAGAGATTATCACTGTCCTCGCGATCATCACTGAAAATAAAGGTTCATAAAAATAAGTCTACTAAAATGGTTTGTCGACTTACATGCTGGCGGTGGGTTTGGTAAACTGGTTATCGGTATCCTTGTAGCCGGACTTCCACAGACCCTGAGATTTCAGGAGGTACCGATGCAGGAAAAGTACCAACAGTAGTATCAAGTCGTAGATCGCATAGTGCGCCTTCTCCTCCACGCCAAAGATCTTGGCCGTAGATAGGGGCTTGTTGGGCAGCCGTTGGTAGTTGGACCAGATGAGCTTGAACTGGAAGACGCACTTGACCAGCACAATGGCCTGGGTGTAGGCGATCAGGGTGACCCAGAAGGTTTTCGTGGGCCGCGGCAGGGACAAGGTGCCCCATAAAAAGACCATTAGAGGCAGGGGCAGCGAAATGAGACTGGCATTAACGACCTGAAAGGGAGGATCATGATTAAAAATAGGACCTTCATGTCCAAAGTACTCTTACCTGATTGATGAAAACCACAATGTAGCAGATAAGATCCGTGTTGGCCAACAGAGCGTACCAGGAGGAGATTAACACCTCCACGATGATGTGATGATCCCGCTGGGCAAAGTTTTCCTCCTCCAGATTGAACTCACCCGCGCTGAAAGTTCACCGAGAAAACTAGTTAGTACATGGAGCTCTTCAAGATGGTTCCTGGAATCTAACAACTTGACATGCGGGTGCTGTTTTTTGCTCTTTTAAGGAATGTGTGCGCTGCATGCTCCACAGACTACATGCCAGTGCATCGGTGTGGAGAACTCGGTGGTTGAACAAAAATAAATCAAATAAAACTAGATTTAAACTAGGATTAATCGAAGCCAAACACCGGTACATACTAGCAAAGAACGCATAGCGATAGGTTTAAATCATAGCAGCGAATACAACTTTTGTGGAGAGGCAGAGATACAGATACGGATACAGATACAGATACAGAAACAGATGCAGTTTAAGTTACCAAAGAAAACAGAGGGAAGATACAGAGTCATGATAGATGTTAGAATAAAGATTCTGAACCATGATGATGAAGATGAGACTGAGCTTGAAAGATACATAGATAGACAGATTTTGGATGGATGGATTTAGAGAAGGGAATCTTCTATGAAGAGTGCAAATAAATCTTTGAAACTTTCATCAAGTTCTTCATGAAACTCCCTTCTTTAAATCAAACCATCTGAAAGGTTAGAGAGCGTTACGAACACAAACCGAACGACACCAACACATTAATGGACATTTAGGGCTAAAGGATAGTGGGTGGGGCGTTAGGCTTAGTTAGGGGCGGGGCCAGTACCTGTCCACCTGCTCGTAGGACCAGTGCTTGCTCAATGATCCCGAGCCGCCGCCACCGCCACTGTGATGATTATAGTAATAGTGCGCTCCGCGGTCGACAGAGGGCGCTTTAACACGGATCTCGGGCAGACCACTGTCCGATTTTCGACTGAACATCGTGCTATATATACGATTCGTATGCGATTATTGGGCAGCGCATGGATGGTGGATGGCGGTAGGAATGGAATGGAGTGAAATGGAAAGTAGGTGTCAACTTATGCAGGACATATATTGTAGTATATAGAGAGAAAATTGCTCAAGTATTATCAGATTGTAGTTGAGAGTCGGCCCCTGGATGGGTCTGAGTCTCGTGTGGTTAGTTGCAGATTTGGATCTGATCGCGGTTTAGTCTTAAATTGTACATTGTAGAATGGTTCGATTTACTTACCCCTTGGCTGGCGGCGATGAATTGATCGATTGTTTTCTAACAAAACAAAAATTTATTCGGATGATCGTAATGCACGCAGAAAAATGTAAATGTAAGAAAAAGAAATTAGTAAGGATTTGTTTTTGTTCATTCAGATATTTGTTGTTTCTTGGCATGTACATAAAAATATTTAATTTAAGTTTGGACCAATAAAAAGATTTCCGACTTTGAGAAAATAAATGTGAAAGTGGAAAAGTTTGAATATGAAATAAGGACATATTTTGAATTCGAAAAAGAGTTCGAATACTTTAATGTTTTAAATATCTAGCCAATGATTGAATAAATTAAAAAAATAACTAAAAAATGAAACTGTGCAGTGAGGGTTTCTTGTGGACGTGATCCAAGACAATTACACTTAGCAAAATAAGATGTTCCTTATGTTATGTTGATTTGTTACCTAGAGGTGGCTGCATCAACGGTATCTACAGGCAACTCGATGATTTCGTCAACAGCGCGATTATGCTGATGGTGTTGCTGTGGTGTACTGGTTGTTGTTGGTGGTTGCAGTGGTTCGGGTGGTGATAGCGGTGTGGTTGTCGTGTTCGTGTTCAGTGGAGTGCTGGTGTTTGTGTGCTCTGGAGCATTGGCATTCGGCGGGGCAACAACCACCCGCCGTGGTGTGGATGAGGAGGCGGGCTGGCCGCTGTCATCGCTTCAACAGCATCCACATCCACATCAAGATCAAGATCGATGGCACAAATGAGGTTGAGGTGAGTTTTGGTGAGACATTGTTGCAGGTGTATTGTAGTAGAATGTTGTGGAAGCAGGAACAGGTACACGAAACACAAAATTATAAAACGGATATGCAAATAAAGTAAAAAACGAAAAGTAAATAAATAATACGAAATCAATAATGAATCAGGAACCGAACACAACTCTTAAGAAAATTCAACGCTTGGTAACGCGACCAGAACACGCTACTCTAAGGACACACGGGCTTCCAGTTCCCAAAAATCAAAACTTTATTGTAAACTTAACGCAAGCGGCGCACACTGGACCTTGGATGGGTTCCAGAAACGCTCTCTTTAAAAATACCTTTCGAGGTTGGATTTCAGGAAGTGGAACATGGCAGCGGCACTGGACAGGCCCAAGCGATTCAAGGAGCTGGATTCCTGTAGAAAAATAGAAACTCATTAGGATTTTCCCTATAATTTTTCAATATTTTACAACTCACCTTAAGGGTCTTCTTCTCGCCTGCCAGGATGCGGTTCACGAAGCGATAGTTGCGCGAGAAGCGGTTCAGTCTTATGGTCAGCGTCACCAAGAAGCCCTCGAGCAGTCGGATGATGGGATTGGTGTCGAAGTCCTCGTCCGAATCCTTGGCCGTCACCTCACCGCTGTCGATTTCCATCTTGGACTTGCTGTCCGAGGTCTCCTTCGATGTGGCCTCCCGACCCAGTCCCGATGTGGTGGTGGTGGTTATGATGGGTGGAGGAATCACCGGCAGATCCGCCACATCCCGGGTGGGAGCCGGGCTAGCGCTACTGGCAGCATCGCGTTCTTTGGAAATACCCTTGCTAGTAGAGGGGAAATCAGGTCCTGGGGCGTCCTTGGATTTCTATTTTGAAACAAAAGAAAAGAAGAAAGCCAGTTAGAACTCTGATCTCGATAAGGTGCTTTAACATTTATACAATCGAACGAAATAACAAGCTTTACATATGCATATTGAATTGAATAGAGATTATAATGGAGTATTTCTGTACAGTTTGAGGTGAGTGCGCCCATCTGCTGGTCGGCAGGACTCGTGAGCAAACAAAAGTGAGTGCCAATCAAAACGGGTATACAATTCTGGAGGGGACTCCAGGTCAATCCAGTTCAGACTCACAACCTCGAGCAGCGTCTGGCTGCGACGCCCAAAGTCGAGTGGCTCGGATAGCGTCGAGGTGCGTATGCCGAGGTCACACTCGATGGTATCGTCGTCCTCCTCGTCGTCGGTGGTTAGTCCCAGTTCGTGGCTAACCTTGGCCTTCTCTTCTTCCAATTTCAGGGCTATGCGGGACCCCGGCTCGGAGGCATAGGATCGCTCTCGCATGTAGAAATGCCGACGATACTCGGCATCGTTCAGGTCCTTCCAAACCTTTTAGTTCATAGGTGGGGGGCAATTTTGTAAGGAATTTTTTTGTTTTTTTGGAGGAATTTACAAGAATTTTAATGGGATAAAGGGTACCATGCCATATGTCTCAATCAATTTAATAAAATTGTGTAAAAAAAAGAGGTAAAAAAACTAGAAACTCACGTCGTAAAGGGTCTTGCGGCGCTGCATCTTCATTTCGCTCTCGGTGATGTTTTCCTCCTCCAGGAAGTCGATCTCGTCGTGGATTAGGTCCAACTCGAACTTGTCATCCATCTCCTCGAACATGTAGTAGTCACCAGCTCGAGTAGCTTTAAGAGCACACCAACATCATTATTAGATATTATTTTAAACCTTGTACTCAGTTATATTACAATTTGGAACAACATTTAGATGGGTATAAGTAAATATTGACTAGGTTTTGGTATCAAGTTTTCTTGTTTCGCATTCAATTTACAGGGTAGCAGCACACAGAACTTGGGCATGCACAATTTGTATATACATTGGAATGGGGGCCAGTTAATATAGCAGGGCTTTTCATAACAAATAACGAACCAATGAGGCACAACAAATAAAAACTTTACCATGTGGATGTAATTTAATTTCCTTCCTTCTGCGTACTGTGGGTGCAGGAAGTGGATAACCATGTTCTAAAAACAAAATCAAAAGCCAAATCAAAATAAATCAAATCATTAAGTAAATAAAGAACAAAGATATAGGTTTGCTTTAAAAATAATCAACAAATAAATCTAGCACCGGCTAGCCGATGTCTGTATTTCTGAACCCATCCCAGGGCATTCAGTATGCGTATCATTGGTGTTAGCGAAAGGAAAGTGAAAGTTTCGAATAGATTCCATATCATTTTAAGAAAAAATAAACCATAATTTTAGATTAGCATTTGGAAAATCTGACAATTGTCTGTGGGTTTGGTCATGCAGATCAAAAGCATAATGAACCGCCTTCGAGATCTTCAAAAAATCACATTTAGAATTTAGAAAATCACAGGAGAAATGTTTATTTTACACTTGTAGAGGCGCCAGGACTCTGTTTGCGCATCCTTCATTCACCAAATAGAAGAAGTAACTTGTTGTGTTATTTACAAGGTCAAACCCAGAAAGGCAGTTTCTTGGGGTCACATGACACACGACCCCAATCGGTTTTATTCAGTTGCATAGCACATCGAACTCAAGGTTTTTTTGTACAAAGTTTCTTTGAAGATTAGCAAAAATATGATATATTTTAAAATTATAGGGCAAAGATTCATCCAATACATGGTCCATGCAGCAGTGCGGGCTCATAGAAGGCACACATCAGCGACTCCATATAGTAGACCGTACCCACGGGTCCCCAGCTGTGCGGCCGCTGGGCAGATCGCAGAGCAGCCTCGTCCCTGGCCCCGGATAGGTTGCTCGAGAGCCGCTTCCTGAAGGTCTGCGACTGGGCAGCCTCGTCCAGCGAGTAGCTGGCGTTTCCCATGCTCTGGTGGCGGCGATGCAGCGCCTTGTTCCGCATGGTCACCACCTCCTCCCGACTATCCGCCGACTATTATTTCAAGGGAGGCGGAAGAATCGGATTAGCTTTTCAGCCTTTGGATACGATTGACATTCCCCACATTACCATTTGCTTCTTCAAGGGCGATCGCTTGATTGACACTGTTTCGTTCCAGGAAACTGCCGCATTGGTCGACGACTGGCGGCGATGTTCACGTCGCAGATTCGGAGTCAGAGTGGGTGACAGCACAGAGCTGGCAGCACTCGAGGCCATTGCGGTGGCATAGGCGGCCAGCGGTGGGGCCAGCGACTGTATGGTGACCGGAGCACTTGCCTCCGATGGAGCCAGACCCAGGGAGATCCTCTTTGGCTCCAGGAACCCTTCGGTCAAAAGAGCCGACAGCGCCTCCGTGCTCGGCGTGGTGGGCTTCGAGTCCGCCGCTGCGACAGCCACTGGCAAATGTCTGACGGGCAGTGCCACCGTGGTGTCCTCTTCACTAACCGACTGTACATCCACATAGTCCCCGACCTCCTCGCACTCTATCACGTTGATTTCCGGTTCGATTACGACTGCTGCATCCGCACTGTCCACGCTGTCCACACTGCCACTGTGAGTGCTTGAAAGGATGGATGCTCTCGCGGGCGAGGAATTGCTGGGCGAGCTGGAGGTGCTCTGTTCGTCGGGAGTCAGATAGCCGGAGCCCTGGCACGAGGTGAAGCTGCTGGTGTGGGCCAAAGGCGCCACCTCTCGGGCCGACACTTCGGGCGTGGGATGCCCTTCGGGGTTGCAATATTAAATAAAGATACACTCGCGATACAATTTCCAGCGCAAAAATACAAAAATGGAAAATTGCAAAAAACGCGACGCGAAGTTCGAATGCAAAAAGTTCGCGGTGGAAGGAAAGAGGGAGTTGTAAGTTAACTTACCATCGAAGTGGGTCTGCTTGTCCAGCGGTCGGAGCATCTTCTGCTGCGTCGCCCGAATACGCTCCATTTTCCGTTTGATCTTGTGGAGCACCTGCTTTTCGTGGTCGTGCCGATGGGTGATCTGCTTCTGCCGCAGGCTCTCAATGATGTCAGCTCCTCTGTGGGATGTCGAATAGTATTATCATGGGTATTATGTGTCAAAGGATTGTGGACCTACCTCGAAGCCAAGATGTTGTTGGCCTTTGTGTCCGTGATGATGTGACAGAAGTAGTGCGACTTGAAGATGCGCAGCTGGAAGATGATAAAGGCGAAGCAAATGGTGTCCCAGAGGAGCACAACCTGGTGCGTGATCTTGGGGCACTCGCCCGGCTGAATAGTCTCCTCCAATACCTCGGAGACGATCGGGGGCACGTTGCTTGTGCAGGTGATGCCCAGCATGTGGACCAGCCAGCAGCAGTGCGTCGTCAGCGGTGTCATGAACAGGCAGCCGGCCATTTGGAAGCTCGTCTTGATCAGGATGTTGGTCACATTGAAGGCCAGAAGCCACTTCCAGCGACTGATGATGGTGTGGATGGGCCGCAGATAGAAGTCGGATCCCTGCCAGAGGAAGACAAACGCTCCGATCAGATAGCCAAGGGCCAGCAGATCCGCAATGTTCGTGCCTGCCAGGAAGACCACCGCCAGGGTGAACCAGTAGAAGCCGCACAACACCCCGTTCTTCAGTATATCGGAGTAGTTGCGGATGTAGGAGCAGAAGTCGTGGGTGGGATTGTCGAAGGGCACCCGTCCCAGCTGGGCAATGTCCGCGATGACACTGCGGTTGCTGCCTCCGGGATAATCATCGCTGCTGGCATAGCGCTGCTCTATGCAGAAGATGCTCTTCTGGCGGTTCAGGATAACCAGCACCATAAAATCGAATATCAGCTTGGGCACATGGTTGAAGTGCAGGGCTCCTGGCAGCATAGTCCAGCGCTGTATGCTCTCGCCAAAGGCGTCCTTGTCCCAAGGATAAACTGAAAAGGAAATCATCAAAAATGCAAATGAAAATCAAATAATTTTCACGAAACCAGCCACGCTCTCTTACCCGTACAGAAGCTGGGGGGCAGACCCACCAACACGATGTACTGCGTCAGTATGGAAATGGCAAAGAAGGCCTGGAACACGCCCCAGATCTTGGCGCACTGGGAGCGCCGCAGCAGCAGGAGCACCACCAGCCAGAGGGCATACACCACGGCCACAATGTCCTGACGATATGTGATGGTGGATACCAAGGCGATCAGGGATATCTCGATGCCAAATTTGTAGAAGCCAAAGTTGAGGAGGTACTTGACCAGACCCACCAGGTCCTTTTCGGCATCGGCTCGCACGATGTGCGGGAAGAGCAGTTTGGTGGGCGGGGCGTTCAGGGCACCAATCTTGACCCGCATTTGCAGCTGCCGCAAGGTGATGACGGCGTGCAGGGTCACAATCACCATGTAGATGATGTAAGTTCGGAGCAAGCTCATCAGGCCACCCTCCAGCTTGTCGGCCTTGGTGAGGCCCACCCATTCGGCATTGTTGGCGGTCCGGTTATCAGACTGCGAAGGGAAACAATAGAGGTACAAACTGATTTCAATTTTGAAAAGCTGTTCTACTCACGCAAACCACATTGTACTGGGAGTGACTGAGGTACTCGATCTGGTAGATCATCTTGGACAGCACTATAATAGTTACAATGAACGAGATGAGGCGGCTGATCACCACCTGGACTGCCTTGCGCGACGTGGCGCCCAGCACGCAGAAGCCCACAAAGACAATGTGCAGGACACACACCTCGCTGACGCTGCAGACGAAGGCGGCTATGTAGACGGCCTTCATGATGTGCAGCTCCAGGAAGCGCCAGAAGACGTCCTTGAAGTTCTTGAATATATACTCGGACTTGTTCTTGATCTTCCGGAACGAAATGCGCACCAAATCCCGGACAGAAGTCTCGAAATCTGTGGTGGCACCTGGCGGAGCTGCCTCGGCTGAAGGTCCTTGCGAGCGGCGCAAGGAATTGGCACTGCCCCGTCGCCTCGAGGGATTGGCTGGTTCCAAGGCAGTTGTCTCCGTGGGTTTCTGCGTGGCCGAGCCGCCAGGTGTCGGCTGCTGTTGCAGCGAGGCGATGAAACGTTTGTGGAAGTAGTGCACCTGGATGACGGTCAGGATCACAATGATTGTGGGCGAGACCAGGTGTAGGAACAGGTCCTTGGTCTGATACCGCTTAAGACCAATGTCGTTTTGTCTGAAAGGGGAATGGAAAGCATTAATCGCGAGGTCTTCCATCTTTTGAAAGCTGAAACTCACAGCGTCTTGGACACGTTAAGGTAGTCGTTCCAATATGTATCAAATTTGTCGAACTGATATGTGTAGATCAAGATTAGGATGGACATGGCGTAGAAGATGAGGAACAGCCAGAAGCCGTACATGATCTTCACCCAGGCCTTGGACGATGACTGGAATACCAGCAAGAAGAACAGGAACAGGGCCATGTAGCAGATGCGGAAGCCCGTCATATTCTCGCCGGTGATCGCACACAAAAAGATAACGAGCACCAGCAGCCAGATCCAGAGCCGGACCAGCAGGTTCTTGATCACATCGCCGGCCTTCTTTAGGAACTTTGAAGTCTTCTTGCCGTCGTTGATGAGGTAACTGGACCCGGCTGATCCCACGGTGATCTGCAGCGGGGCAATTATGTCCGCCAGGGTGCTGTCCCGCCGACGATCGCGTTTCTCCTTGAAAAACTGGCGCGACGTCACCCAGAACATCAGAACGAAGGCAGTCTTCACGATTAGCGGCACACACGGACGCATCTGGTTCTCCTTGGGCCGCTCGAATCCAATCTGCTGCAGGTTGATGCCCGCCGTCTGCAGAGACATGATTGAATTAATTTCAATTAGCAGCTCCAGTGAGCTAGTGATCTTCACTTACGGAAACCTTCGTGGGCAGCTCGCTATTGTCCAGATCCATGCCGTAGATGTACTGGGCAACCAGCAGCACTTCGGCGTAGAGGACGATGAAGGGACTGGAGCGCATCATGGCCTTGCGTTGATTGGGGATCATCCAGAGGACATTGGCCCAGAGAAGCAGCACAAATGTGAGCCAACTGTGGTAGACAATGGACCAGGCCTGGAATGGGAAAAGTGATTAGTGGAACGGATGTAATGGATGAGGTCTTTTCTTGAGACTTACCATCATCAGAATGTTGGTGAATATGTAACTGTTCTGGTAGATGAAACCGCCCACGCTGACAAATCCGTACGATATCTGATCCAGAATGGAGGTGGTGGTGTTCTCCTGCTCGGATCGCTGCTCCATAGAGTCCATCTGGATGTCATTGCCGCGCTGAGTGGAGCTGGCTGGCACCGATGAACCACTCTCCAGGGGCTGTGGGGTGCGGGACCTTCGAGTGCTCTGGCGAACCAACTGAAGGAGCGGTTGGAGTTTATTAATTATTATTATCATGATTGGTATCTTCAGACAGACACAGAAAGGAAAGATTGACTCTCTAATTTAGATATTTACATACAAGAAGGTCTAGAGTTCTAGGGCATCTACGGGTGTTTTGGGTTTAAACGTTGACGGGTTACTATCCGGGTGAGAGTGGCTAACTAGTTGGGATCGCAAATCGCGGTGCTTTATGGCCCAGAACACGAGACACATTCACACTTACGCGGTTGGTTAGTAGCTATGTTTAGATTACATTTGGTTAGGATGTCGTATGACTGGTAGGAGGCTACTAGCGGGATTAGTACTCTAGATCGCTATGGATGTTAGACAAGAACACACGTTTACATCGACAAATGACACAGATTGGTAACAAAAAGATAGATAGAGGCGTTCAGATAGCTAGAGATCTATTCTAATGAGTTGGGGTTAGGCATAAGAGGTTTCTGGAGGATTGGGGCGCAAAGTGGAGTTAGTTTACGTACAGGCGTCGTCTCAGTCGGTTCATTCAACGTAGCACGCTGATCACGGCGCAAAGAAACCTAAAGCGGAAGTAATAAAAGAGAGAGCATAAACAAAAATCAAAAGAAAACCAAACAAAGGTAAACTAAAGAGTCGGGGAAAGCGCAAATCAAGGATATAGATTTCGGCAAAGTCGGCTAAGACCGGGCAGAGCTGCGGGGTTAAGAGTTAAAGCACAGACAAACACTTAGTTGAGGTTTAGTTGATGTCACTAATTGCATTTAGTGTTTGGGATATACAATAGTTTGTATTACCTCCCCAAGCTAACATGAACTATACAGTATCACCTAGTTCTACCTCCCAATGTATCCTAATATAATCATAAATCTTAGGGAAAAGAAACCTCCTTTTTTAAGCAAAGGTATGTGCTTGCTATCCTAGATTGGTATCCTTTTTAATTCATTGATATTATAATACTAATCCCTCCATTAAAAAAGATAATACTTTAATATTTCTATAAAAACAAGTCCCAAAAATTATATTAGCAAATAAAAACATTGCCATTCCGGAGGATGAGGTAAGTTTTGAGGATTAAAGCCTTTTCCATTTGGTGGTCCCCATCTCTGGCTCTTCTATCCCTGATTGGTTTAGCTTTTCTCTCATACACCAAAGCTGGCTTTCGGACATTGTCCAGCTCCTAAATCCTAATCCTCTTAAAACATTCACACACCACACCCCCGACTGGCAGACAGAACCCATCCTCTGCCCCCGCTCGCTTACACTCAAGCGCTGATTTCGAATGGTGGTCGCGGCAGTGCCTGTGGTTGTGGTGGTGGTGGTGGTGGTAGTGGCACCTCCCCCGGCGAAGGAGCCGTCCCGACGGCCGCGGGTCGTCTGCGAGGTTAGCAGCGATAGCTGGCGGTTGACTTTGTTGCCGGTGTTGTTGCCGGTGATGCTGCTGCTGTTGCAATCTAGCTGCTGGCCAAATGCGGTGGCGGGTTTCGCTTCCAGCTGCCCATGCGGTGGATTCAGTGGATCAGTGGTTCGGTGGTTCAGTGGGTCGGGTGTTCAAGTGTTCGAGTGTGGTGTTAGTGACGAGTTTGTTAGGTTTTAAAAGTGTTATGTTTAGTGTTTTGTATTGTCGGCGTGCGGCAAAGTCGTGTTAAAAGTTGAAAATTGAAATTTAGTTATTTTTTCCGAATGCAAGAGGCAGCAGAAGAAGAGCAGAAATATAGAGCGAATAAGATATGTCATAAGACAAGTCTGATATAATGTTTAGAAGACTGAAAACTACAGAACTCAAGAACCCCCATTAGCTACAAATCATTAGGTCCCATTATTTTTTTGTTTTAATTCATTAACTAGCTTTCAGTCTTGTTAACTTTAAAGCTGTGACTTGGAAGTAAAGTAATCGATAGTTTAAAAATCTGTAAGACTTGGTGGTGGGACTTACCCGCGGCTTGATGAGATGCTTGGTGGTTAGGGCCAGGGCAAAGTAGGCAAAGAACAGGGCAAAGGGATTGAGGTAAGAGTCCAGATACAAGGTGTTGTTGTAATACATAATTCGTATATCCGATCCACAGTAGGATTCAATGAGCGGCTCCAGTCCAATCAGTCTATCCAAGAGGGAAAACATAAATCAACGACTTGGAGAGAAGGCCTCATCTCATTAAACTTACCGAGCCGTCAGTTCGGTGTGATTGAGGTGGAGCTGCATCCAGGGTGTCTGATAGGACACGATGGAGAGCGAGTGCAGCACCAGGACGACCATCACGAACCGCAGCAGCAACGCAAAGCCCCTGTATCAGAAGGTGTGAGAAGGCAACAACAGAAACAAAAATTGAATGAAAAAGTCAGAAAGCCCGAAATTGATTGCGCTGATGGGGCACGCACCGTTGCAAGGTTTGGCAGGTTGCCCAGTAAGTGCCGGCCAGCAGGAAAATGAGAAAATAGAACCCGCCTGGGACCGAAGGACGCAGCACCGCGGCAAAGAAGAGCGTGGCCAGGCAGAACAGGGGGGCTATCGATGGAGAGAAAATGGAAAAATACTTTTATTAATGGATTTTCATTGAAAAGCGGGTTAGTCCAATGGGTTTTGTAAGGATATCTGTCAGCAGATCCATCCAAAGGTCTTTGAGTAACTCTAGAACTCACAGATCTTAATCAATCCCTCGAAGTGGATGTGCTGACTGATCATGGACACCCGCTTCCTGAGCTGTTGCTGCTGCTGTTGCAGCGGCGTTGTGGCAGTGGCCTGCTGCACATCTCCTCCGCCATTGGCGTCCGTTGCGGGCGTCTGGTTCGCCTGAGCATTCTCCGCCTGCCCCTCGGTGACCTCTCCGTTCTCCAGCTGCTCCGAGCTGACGGTCTGGGAGGCCACACGCTTCACCGTCAGATAGGAACCCAGGGAAGTGGCAAAAACGAGGACCTCCGGAGCCAGCCACTCAATAATGGCCATGGGACTAAAGGAAATTAGGAAAATTATAAAATGGTAAGCTACCTTCTAATCTTCAAGAGAAACTTACTTCAGATCTATGAAGCTAACGAAGCCTATGTGCCTCAGCAGGCGTTCGCTGAAGGAACAGTTGTAGATGGGCAGGGTGACACTGACCGCCAGTATCTGTAGGGTTATGTGACCCAGCAGGACCAGGGTGCTCAGTGCCAGCAGGATGAGGAAGAAGGCGGTGACTGATCCCTTGAAGTTGCGGCGAGTGGCCAGCGGCACAAACGGCGACACGAAGAACATCAGCATGTACACAAAGGATATGCCCACTGGTCGCATCAGGGCAGCTGGATTCCGAAGATAAATAGAATAAGAAATTAAAAAGGATACATTTTAAAGGGAAATCCAAAATAAAGTGCAACAAAAGTTTATTTTTAGTTTGAAAAGTTATTTGTTGGATTGACGGAAATTCGTCAGTTAGGAACGTGGCTTGTTAGAGCCTCCTCCACTCACCCAGGACGAGCACCGCCGGCACGACGACGCGCTGCAGCACCAGGCACGCATAGCTGAAGGCCATTTTGACGGGAGGGATGCGAACGACGGGGCTTCCAGTCTCCGTTACCGGCTCCCACTCAGTCTCGGTCTGCGCCTCGGTCTCCGGAGCTCACGTTGCTTCCCCGGACTCAGACTCCCGCCCGGACGCAGAAGCATTCATTCATAAGAGCCTCAGCTTCGAGTGCAATTTGTTGCCACAAGCAGCGCACAGCAGCTGTAAGAATAGACAAATAAATTGCAATTAGATTTCTGTCGAGGGGCTCCTGTTGCTCCGCCAGGCAACCGCTTAAAGGCTTTAGCTCCGAGGGCGCTTAATTAAGCGGACTATCTAACAAGAACTAAACGAAGCACCCGCACCCCCACCCCCCGCTAATTTACGGATATAAACATTGACACACTTTTAATTAAGACTGGCGAGGCGGATAAAAAAACGCCAGAAAGTGAAATAAAATCAAGCGGAGGCCAAAAAGTGGGCGTGTAAGTCGGTGGCCGCACGCTATCCTGCCTTGGGTTGGGTTAGTTTCAATTTTCCTTTTCCGCTTTTCACATTTTCCCGTCGACCAGCAGCGAGGAGTGGCACCCTTTAAGGCGCCCAGCGATTACAGGACCACCCGGAGAAGGAGGCAGGTCCACCAGACACTCCACCAGGGTTTATGTGTAATTGACATTCAATGGCCCATAATGTGGCGTTTATTTGAATTCAGTTTAAACTAATGGTGCAGAAGGCATTACGACATTGAAATAAATCTCTGTTAATGCTAAAGATGAGGTTTGTTTCTAAAAAACCCTGAATATCTGAGGCTCTAGCTCTCTACTGATTCATACTTCATGATTGGTTCTCACTTGTGAAATTCTATTTTGCATCATATTAGCACATATTCTTTATATTTATATACCCGGTATTCGTAGAGTAAAGGGGTATATTGTGTTCAAACCTTTCATGGTATATTAGAAACTAGGTAGATCTTAGGAACTATAAGAAATAGTGCTATAAAACATTGCCAGTAAACTCGTACAATACCTAATCAGTATTAGGAGGAGGCCTCTAGTTTTCAATGAATTATTTTTAAAAATTTTATTAAATAGTTTCCAAAATAAGGCACCTTCTGAAATCCTTCTGAGCCTTCTATGGCACCAACTATATGTCGTAAATGGTACATATGCTACAGATACATATGGTAAAGATTTTCTATCCTTCAGTGATATGGCAGCTATAGGATATCCTTATAAAATATTCAATAGAACCAACCCTTTATAAGTTGTTAAAGACGTGGATTAATAGAGATAAGTAAAGGGTATCTTATAGTCGAAAATCTTAACCATACTTGACTAATACTTGTTTTCAATGATGCTCATCGGCTTGAGTATTCGTTTACAGACCCATTCAAATGAAAAGCTAATATCCAGATTCTGACCTGATGCCACAGATACTACTCAGTGGCACAAGTAATGCCAAAAACATGGCTAATTTTTGCACAAAGCAAAAAACAATGGCCATGACGTAATGTGGCATGTGCAAAATATTTAATTCTTAATTTTTATACCCTTGCAGAGGGTATTATAATTTTGGTCAAAAGTGTGCAACGCAGTGAAGGAGACATCTCCGACCCTATAAAGCAGGGGTGCTCAACGCCTATACACTGAGTGCACTTTTGTTTTTGTAGATGCTCTGTGCTTATGGCTAGTGCGCCCATAAGCACCGTGCATATGGGCTTCGATTACCATGCTATATATATTCTTGATCAGGATCACCTCCTGAGTTGATATGAGCATGTCCGTCTGTCCGTCTGTCCGTCTGTCTGTCCGTCTGTCTGTTTCTACGCGAACTAGTCTCTCAGTTTTAAAGCTATCGTCTTGAAACTTTGCACACACCCTTCTTTCCTTTGCACGCAGTATATAAGTCGGAACGGCCCGGATCGGCCGACTATATCCTATAGCTGCCATATAACTGATTGATCGGAAATGGTATAACTTTGGTGTTTTTAGAGTTAGAGAGTTCAAATTTGACATGTGAGCTATTTTTGGCAAAACATTACGTCATGCCAAATTTCATAAGGATCGGCCGACTATATCCTATAGCTGCCATATAACTGAACGATCGGAAATGACCCAACTTTCGTGTTTTTGAAGATAGAAAGCTGGAACTTAGTACAGATTTAATTCTTGGTCAGTTGATCCAACCTACCAAATTTCATTAGGATCGGCCGACTATATCCCATAGCTGCCATATAACTGAACGATCGGAAATGGTATTTGGTAGAAATATCAACTTTCGTATTTTTGAAGATAGAAGTTTGGGACTTTTTTTAGATTTTGTATTGTAATAAATTGGATTATATATTCCTATTCCCATAAGGATCGGCCAACTATATCCGATGTTTGCGATATATATCCGGTTTTAACTGCAAGGGTATATAAACTTCGGCTCCGCCCGAAGTTAGCTTTCCTTTCTTGTTTTGGCTCGCTTAACCAGAAACAACAATGAGACATAGCAGAAATAGCAGCCGGAGAACTCGCCAGAGAATGTACGGAGAAGAGCAAGCGAAACGACGCCGCCAACGCCTCCAACGCAAATATATCCGACATAATGTGGGCTAATAAGAGAGGCGAGAACATGGCCGAGAGGGGTAGTTAAGAGGGGATGGGCCCGTAGCCGGCATGACGAGCCGACAAACCTCAAGTGGGGCCACACCTAAGCCCCACACAGTCCAACCCCACCCCACCCCACCACAGCCGCTGGGCAAACAAACAGATTCTCCTAGACACAAAAAATGTATACATCCGACCACAACAACGGGTCCGCAGAACCCCCTAATGGCGATAAAAAATATGAATAGTGGTAGGCATGAAAACAGTAAAAAGTACTCTATTTTAGCCAAATAAATGCCGGTTGCTGGCCCTACTTGTCTCTGTCTGAACAGATGTCTAATGGCGCAATAATGCTGATGGCAGTGTGTCTGTCTGTATGGGAATTTAATGTAGAGTCCCAGGCAGAAAAGTTTGAAACTAAAAGATGGGTAAGTTTTTGTTAAAAAGAAGAGGTTTAGGTTGATGGATTATAGTATCTTTTAAAGAACTAGAAACATATATAAGAGCAATAAACTAGAGTAGAGTAACTTTGAGGTTAGTAAACTCGTAGCTATACTCAAGTTTTATATGTAGAATTGTAGATTGTTTTCAAAAAACCATAATATAACATAGTTTGAGAAACAAGGACAATAGTATTTCCGAGTATAATTTCTAAGAATAAGAACTGGGGTCTATATGAGTAACAGAAGTATGCCCTATGGTATCCTTTTGAGTATGCTATTGTTAACAGGAGCCCCAGGGTATCGGGTATCGCAGGGTATCGCAGGGTTGCAGGGTATTGGTTTTAGACCATGCTATTTATCTCGTATTTCCATGGGTCCCCTTGAAATCCCTTGAAACTCTATTTTTGGAATTTTTGAGGTAGAAGACTATAGTATATTTTAAACAAGAAAGGAAAGCTAACTTCGGGCGGAGCCGAAGTTTATATACCCTTGCAGCTAAAACCGGATATATATCGCAAACATCGGATATAGTTGGCCGATCCTTATGAAATTTGGTAGGATGGATCAAAATATAATCTGTACCAAGTTCCAGCTTTCTATCTTCAAAAACACGAAAGTTGGGTCATTTCCGATCGTTCAGTTATATGGCAGCTATAAGATACATTCGGCCGATCCTTATGAAATTTGGCTCGTCGTATTATTTTGCCAAAAATAGCGCTCATGTCAAATTTTAACTCTCTTACTCTAAAAACACCAAAGTTATACCTTTTCCGATCAATCAGTTATATGGCAGCTATAGGATAGCTTTAAAACTGAGAGACTAGTTCGCGTAGAAACGGACAGACAGACAGACGGACAGACGGACATGCTCATATCAACTCAGGAGGTGATCCTGATCAAGAATATATATACTTTATAGGGTCGGAGATGTCTCCTTCACTGCGTTGCACACTTTTGGACAAAATTATAATACCCTCTGCAAGGGTATAAAAACAATATAATCATTTAAAGAACTATATTATCTTTCTTAAGAACTGTAGTATACATATGTTTATAACTAAATGAATTATAGACTTTAATATCTCTTAGGTTAGTATACCATATTGTCTGTCATTGTTTCTAAATGTCTGAATGTGAACCCATTCCACCCCAACCACTACAGCCCCCAAAATAGGAATATAACCAAAATCAAAGCCATTTCCCATCCACGTCGCATCGTTCCATCAAAATCAAATGAGACACGTGTTGCTGCTTAGCTTCTGCATGGACTCCAGTTTGGGGAACATCTCTCTCCCTATGGCTATGAATACGAAATTCCGGAAGGGGGCTAGGCCGCGTGCTATTCGCCACTAATTCATTTGGCGCTGCTGCTGCTTTTTGGCATTATATTATGATTCCAGCATTAGCTAGAGCTGTGGGTTCTATCAAGTTCCAATCAAACAGCAGCTGTTGTCAGTTGGCCTGTTGCTGGTTGCTATTCCAATTTCATTTCGATTTCTATTTCGATTTGATCGAAATGTTTATTGTTCTTATTTTCTGATACAGAGCATACGAGGCATTTGCATGTGCGTTCAATGGGATTGACTTGGCAGACTGGCTCGTCTCTAGAATTGGACACTTCAATGTCGCCAATGATATTCCCAAGGCGGTCCTCGTTGTCATGGTTAATGCATATTAAATGCATGTTCTCGGGCATTTGCAAACAAATATTACATTTGATGAGGTCTATGCGGCGTATACGTGATATTGTATTTGGAGGGTATTTAAATCAACCAAAACAAGTAGGTTTATGCTAAAAACTCTTCATGAATAACTCTTTTAGATAGCGCCCCTAGAGAAGAACTCAATTGCAAGTCTGATATCGTGGCGACCTTCGGCTTGGCTTCCCCGATCCACCCAGCCAACACCCCCTTGGCATTCATTAGTGCAGCTTCACTGCCAAGTCTGCCAGCCACTTGAACTTTGTCTGGGCGTTGGCACCCGTTTCCCGCTGCCAGTTGCTAGCAATAATGTTTGCAATTTTATTCTCTTGGAGTACAAACAGGAAAAGCGTTGACAAAGTCACCTAATCCCTGGCCAGTTCCTGAGAACGGTCTCCTTCCTGGCAGCGTGTCTTGGGGACATTAATTTAACATTAATTACAAATGTCCAGCGCCCAGAAGCTTGACTCCAGTTTCCTCTA